AATGTAGAGTGCACGCCCCAGCGTGGGCGTCGAACCTTCGAGAAGGAGTCGCGCGCATAGAAGGTTGGTGGTCATTTTCGCCACGATGTGGTCTTGGATGAAGTCGTCCAATTTAGGACCAAAGTCGCACGTCGACGAAAGGTCTCGCAGTGCAGTGACAGATGAGTCTACAATCTCGCCTGGGAGTTGAGCACGCCACCCAAAACAATGCCGCTCCACGACGACACTTGTACTTTAAACAAAGGAGGTGTCGAGTGTAGCCAAAGCTGTGTCGTATTCATTGAAGGTAGGCGTACCTCTGTCAGATGTTGCAGCGGGTGTCGGCGGCTGTTTTTCGGGCAGGGTGTAGAATATTCGCTGGCCTTCCACTCCCAAGCAGTAAAAAAGAAGAGCCTTACGACGCGCGGGCGGGTGGCTGTCGTTCCCCGAAGAAAGTAGAAAGTTTCAGAATAGCCGGTGCCATTGATTCCACGGAATGGCGGGCTCGCCGGGCGTCGGCGGGAACGACGGCGGTTGCTGAACGTCCATGGCTCAGTAGGATGTAAAGTTTAAGCCTCGTCGCCAACTGTTGCGTCGTGCGACGTGACCACCCGCTGTCGTTCCCCGAAGAAAGTTTCAGAACAGCCGGTGCCATTGATTCCACGTAATGGCGGGCTCGCCGGGCGTCGGCGGGAACGACGGCGGTTGCTGAACGCCCATGGCTCAGTAGGATGTAAAGTTTAAGCCTCGTCGCCAACTGTTGCGTCCTGCGACGTGACCACCCGCTGTCGTTCCCCGAAGAAAGTAGAAAGTTTCAGAATAGCCAGTGCCATTGATTCCACGGAATGGCGGGCTCGCCGGGCGTCGGCGGGAACGACGGCGGTTGCTGAACGCCCATGGCTCAGTAGGATGTAAAGTTTAAGCCTCGTCGCCAACTGTTGCGTCCTGCGACGTGACCACCCGCTGTCGTTCCCCAAAGAAAGTAGAAAGTTTCAGAATAGCCAGTGCCATTGATTTCACGGAATGGCGGGCTCGCCGGGCGTCGGCGGGAACGACAGCGGTTGCTGAACGCCCATGGCTCAGTAGGATGTAAAGTTTAAGCCTCGTCGCCAACTGTTGCGTCGTGCGACGTGACCACCCGCTGTCGTTCCCCGAAGAAAGTTTCAGAACAGCCGGTGCCATTGATTCCACGTAATGGCGGGCTCGCCGGGCGTCGGCGGGAACGACGGCGGTTGCTGAACGCCCATGGCTCAGTAGGATGTAAAGTTTAAGCCTCGTCGCCAACTGTTGCGTCGTGCGACGTGACCACCCGCTGTCGTTCCCCGAAGAAAGTAGAAAGTTTCAGAATAGCCAGTGCCATTGATTCCACGGAATGGCGGGCTCGCCGGGCGTCGGCGGGAACGACAGCGGTTGCTGAATGCCCATGGCTCAGTAGGATGTAAAGTTTAAGCCTCGTCGCCAACTGTTGCGTCCTGCGACGTGACCACCCGCTGTCGTTCCCCGAAGAAAGTAGAAAGTTTCAGAAGAGCCAGTGCCATTGATTCCACGGAATGGCGGGCTCGCCGGGCGTCGGCGGGAACGACAGCGGTTGCTGAACGCCCATGGCTCAGTAGGATGTAAAGTTTAAGCCTCGTCGCCAACTGTTGCGTCCTGCGACGTGACCACCCGCTGTCGTTCCCCAAAGAAAGTAGAAAGTTTCAGAATAGCCAGTGCCATTGATTCCACGGAATGGCGGGCTCGCCGGGCGTCGGCGGGAACGACGGCGGTTGCTGAACGCCCATGGCTCAGTAGGATGTAAAGTTTAAGCCTCGTCACCAACTGTTGCGTCCTGCGACGTGACCACCCGCTATCGTTCCCCAAAGAAAGTAGAAAGTTTCAGAATAGCCGGTGCCATTGATTCCACGGAATGGCGGGCTCGCCGGGCGTTGGCGGGAACGACAGCGGTTGCTGAACGCCCATGGCTCAGTAGGATGTAAAGTTTAAGCCTCGTCACCAACTGTTGCGTCCTGCGACGTGACCACCCGCTGTCGTTCCCCAAAGAAAGTAGAAAGTTTCAGAATAGCCGGTGCCATTGATTCCACGGAATGGCGGGCTCGCCGGGCGTCGGCGGGAACGACAGCGGTTGCTGAACGCCCATGGCTCAGTAGGATGTAAAGTTTAAGCCTCGTCGCCAACTGTTGCATCCTGCGACGTGACCACCCGCTGTCGATCCCCGAAGAAAGTAGGAAGCTTCAGAATAGCTGGTGCCATTGATTCCACAGAATGGCGGGCTCGCCGGGCGTCGGCACGAACGGCGGCGGTTGCTGAACGCCCATGGCTCAGTAGGATGTAAAGTTTAAGCCTCGTCGCCAACTGTTGCATCCTGCGACGTGACCACCCGCTGTCGATCCCCGAAGAAAGTAGAAAGTTTCAGAATAGCCGGTGCCATTGATTCCACGGAATGGCGGGCTCGCCGGGCGTCGGCGGGAACGACAGCGGTTGCTGAACGCCCATGGCTCAGTAGGATGTAAAGTTTAAGCCTCGTCACCAACTGTTGCGTCCTGCGACGTGACCACCCGCTGTCGTTCCCCAAAGAAAGTAGAAAGTTTCAGAATAGCCGGTGCCATTGATTCCACGGAATGGCAAGCTCGCCGGGCGTCGGCGGGAACGACAGCGGTTGCTGAACGCCCATGGCTCAGTAGGATGTAAAGTTTAAGCCTCGTCGCCAACTGTTGCATCCTGCGACGTGACCACCCGCTGTCGATCCCCGAAGAAAGTAGGAAGTTTCAGAATAGCTGGTGCCATTGATTCCACAGAATGGCGGGCTCGCCGGGCGTCGGCACGAACGGCGGCGGTTGCTGAACGCCCATGGCTCAGTAGGATGTAAAGTTTAAGCCTCGTCGCCAACTGTTGCATCCTGCGACGTGACCACCCGCTGTCGTTCCCCAAAGAAAGTAGAAAGTTTCAGAATAGCCGGTGCCATTGATTCCACGGAATGGCGGGCTCGCCGGGCGTCGGCGGGAACGACAGCGGTTGCTGAACGCCCATGGCTCAGTAGGATGTAAAGTTTAAGCCTCGTCACCAACTGTTGCGTCCTGCGACGTGACCACCCGCTGTCGTTCCCCAAAGAAAGTAGAAAGTTTCAGAATAGCCGGTGCCATTGATTCCACGGAATGGCGGGCTCGCCGGGCGTCGGCGGGAACGACAGCGGTTGCTGAACGCCCATGGCTCAGTAGGATGTAAAGTTTAAGCCTCGTCACCAACTGTTGCGTCCTGCGACGTGACCACCCGCTGTTGTTCCCCAAAGAAAGTAGAAAGTTTCAGAATAGCCGGTGCCATTGATTCCACAGAATGGCGGGCTCGCCGGGCGTCGGCACGAACGGCGGCGGTTGCTGAACGCCCATGGCTCAGTAGGATGTAAAGTTTAAGCCTCGTCGCCAACTGTTGCATCCTGCGACGTGACCACCCGCTGTCGATCCCCGAAGAAAGTAGGAAGTTTCAGAATAGCTGGTGCCATTGATTCCACGGAATGGCGGGCTTGCCAGGCGTCGGCACGAACGGCGGCGGTTGCTGAATGCCCATGGCTCAGTAGGATGTAAAGTTTAAGCCTCGTCGCCAACTGTTGCGTCCTGCGACGTGACCACCCGCTGTCGATCCCCGAAGAAAGTAGGAAGTTTCAGAATAGCTGGTGCCATTGATTCCACGGAATGGCGGGCTTGCCAGGCGTCGGCACGAATGGCGGCGGTTGCTGAATGCCCATGGCTCAGTAGGATGTAAAGTTTAAGCCTCGTCACCAACTGTTGCGTCCTGCGACGTGACCACCCGCTGTCGTTCCCCAAAGAAAGTAGAAAGTTTCAGAATAGCCGGTGCCATTGATTCCACAGAATGGCGGGCTTGCCAGGCGTCGGCACGAACGGCGGCGGTTGCTGAATGCCCATGGCTCAGTAGGATGTAAAGTTTAAGCCTCGTCGCCAACTGTTGAATCCTGCGACGTGACCACCCGCTGTCGATCCCCGAAGAAAGTAGGAAGTTTCAGAATAGCTGGTGCCATTGATTCCACGGAATGGCGGGCTTGCCAGGCGTCGGCAAGAACGGCGGCGGTTGCTGAATGCCCATGGCTCAGTAGGATGTAAAGTTTAAGCCTCGTCGCCAACTGTTGCGTCCTGCGACGTGACCTACGTTCCCAGGCCACGACAGAAGCAGACCGTACGCTCGTACCGAAAAGAATGTCTTTAACCTCGAAGTTGCATGATTTATATACAGGACGCAGGTGGCCATACCTGTGGCGCCATCTCTTATGATGAATGACAACTTAAAATACCGACAGATGCTCTATGGGCACGGTCAGAAAAGAGTTAAAGCGCAGGGTGGAACGAACTCCAAACTTCACGTGAAATAAAACTAGCACAACTGGGAAACCAGGCCACCGAGCACGGCAGAAAGGCATCTGTGCACCTGAGAAAGTAAGAAAGGGAAAGGAATATAAACAGGCAGTTGCAAAAGCCTCCATCCGTTAAGAGACCAGTTCAAGGTGATATCCGCCCGGTCAAGATCAAGCAAGCACGGCGCAGACAGGCAAAGAGGAGAAAACAAATGGGAGCGGAGCAAAACGAAGAGGGAGGCCCAATACATTGCACCGGCCATCTTGAATGGCAGTTTCTAGGCGTGACAGCCAGGAAGGCAAATGCAACAAACGAGAAATTAACGCGGGCGTTTGACAGTACTGGTGTTTGTGAGCGCAACAGCCGGGAAAACGTATGGGCCGAGGACGTATCGACGACGTTCTACGAGAGTGTTTGATATTCATGGAACATTAGGCCACACGTATCATGCCCAGCAAGGACAACAAAATGCATAGGACAATTAAGCACTTAGAACTCTTTGACAAACAGTCACGCACCCAACAGTTCTGAGACTGTGAGGCACTGTTTCACGGACTCCGAACAGAGCGTGAGACCACATTCGGCGAGATTGCGTCGTTTACAGACCATGCCAGGCACGACTGTCGAGTGAACGCCGTCTGGTCTATGGCGGTCACTCACCCAATGGATGGCTATCCGACAGCAGTTCCACGTCCCCCAGCTGAATCACAGTGACTAGGTGCTCCAGTCGGTAGCCCAAACGTCTCAAGGAGCACAGGTAGCCAGGCCAGAACCTAGGAAGGCATTCCATTCACAAACACACGCAATCTCATACATTATCGCCGACTCATCTACAATAAACTCGTGTAGTAACAGACGTATATGCAGACATGACTGGGGTCAAGAGGTTTGTGACATGTCATCTCAACAAAAACACTTTACTACTAAGTTTGGTTTTACCATAAGTGTAAATAAATGAAGCTGGAGCTACAAACTAGAGCATGTTGCCTTAAATGAGGCCTTCAATGCACAAGCGCATGTGCACAGCGTGCACAATCAAACCAAGATACTCTCCCTATAAAAATGGTGGCCAACTCATATAAAAATTCAAGGGTTTGTGGTTTACTATATGGACTGGTAAATGCAGGTAAATATATTTGGTAAATATTGGTTCGACAGCTTCAGAAGAAAACGGACAGTAAAAATTGACTTTATATGTTTAAAATTTTTGGAACTATTTTTTTTTTGCAAATAGATTCTGTCGGGTTCACATGAAGTAAGCATCATTCTCGGCAAAAATGCAATTAAAAAAGCTGGACCACACACAGGGGAGTACATCGTTGATCGTCTAAGAGTGTTTCGCTTAGCGCCAATCACAATTTTCTTGCTCAAACTACGCATTTTGCAGAAAAAAGATAGATGTCATAATTGGTCACGATTAATTGGCCTATATAAAGATATGTATAGCATCAGGGGTAATTATGGATGCTTAATTAATTTAAAATAATAATCTTTCTTATGTGTAAACATACGAGTGCATGGCTTTAATTGAAAAGTAGCTGAACCTCAGTGGGAACAATGGAATAAGCCATTTCTAGTAAGATTTATGGTGTGTGCAGCACTCCAATCTGAATACACCACCCAGGATTTAGTTTCCTATCAGCCACGTCATCGTGCCAAAAGGCGATTGATGCTAAGCTTTTCATGACAAATGCTAGCAAAGAAAAAACCGAGAAAAACTGTATGATTACGGGGGTGCAGATAAACAAGGCATCCGCAATGTCGAAGCTCCACAAAGAAAGTAAGCGAAAAACAGTACTATATCTTTCGGACTAGTCTGCAGGGGCAAATTTCAGTTTAAAACAAAATGGTTGTCCCTGAATAATCTACACTTGGTGTATTGTCAACACCTAGTGCAGACTACACACAAATCATCATTAATACTCCATCATACTAATAATCCGTCAGTGTCGTCATTATGAACAACCTAAAAAACATAAAATCTTTATATAGCCCGCACCTGTAGATAGTCCGCACCGCATAAGCCAAAACTTTTAAGCTTGTATAGCCAGTGGACTAGCACAGTCTGGGCAACATGGCACTGAGTTGGCAAATAAAGAGATGTTGACTTGTCTATTGCCCACACTCACCCATGCAGCTGACAGAGCTCCATGCTCCTGACTGAGATCCATTCCTCGAAGCAAAGGACAGCTTTGAGCTGCTCCATCATCGGCCAGTTGATCTTGTGGGAGTTCATTCTGAAAGTCAGATGTGCCAAGGCCTTTGTTGCTTGAATGGCTGCTTCCACATCACAAACCCACAACCACAGCAAAACCTCACTGACATGTCCTTCAATGGCCCAAGGCAGAAAAACATACTAACATACACGAAACTGCAACAACAAATAAATACTTATTTAGGCGCAACAACTATTTGATTCAAAACAGCCATCACACTGCAAGGTCTGTATGGGTTTCGGATGTTAAAGGAATACTACAACGAAATTTCGGCGCTTTTTTTTTGGTCTTTACGTGTTCAAAGAAGCAGTATCACATTGGACACACCAATATCCTGTTACAAAAGACGCGAAAAGGAATTTTAAAACAAATTAAACGATTAGGAAAGAGCACCTGGTGGATGTCACTAAAGCCTCATTTGTAATGCCTGTCTAGGAACCTTGACAGGTAGTGACGATAACTGTTTCGACTAGAACTAGTATACATGCTTTGAACCTGATGTCATCCCGGCAGCTCTACAGCCAGCACAAGAGAAGAGGGGAGGAAGGAACTTCCCCACTCAATGGGACTCTCTTTTGTATGTCCCAGGCATTGCTATTCTTCCTCTAGAAGATTATAGAAGATTAACCCGTCACTCCAAAATCCCACAAAAGCAGATTTGGGGTTAGTTGCGGTGGTCCAATCGCCGGCATGCTTCGACTGCTTCGGTGGCTCGAATGACAGGGCATCCAGACGGTGCCAGCCTCGCCACAGCTTTGCTCATCCCGAGACAGACTACGTCACGATCGTGCCGGATGTGACGTGCTCTCCGCTGGCTGCTCTCCAAGCGCTTGCCAGAGTGGGCCGTTTCTAATGTTAAATACAGCCATCAGGCTCGAAGTACAAATGTGCGATTGTCATTTACAGATACTGTGGATCATATTCAGCCAATTTCTGAACACGACGGGAATATTTCAAATTTCGTTGCAGTATTTCTTTAGAAGGACATTAACACCACCCAATTTTATTTTTTGCCACGTTATCCATTATAGTGTCAGAAAACTACCCAATCAGTATTTTGCTACAACGTCACATATATTTTTAATAGAGTAAGAAAATGCAACAGCTTGAAACCGAAACTGAACTGGGGAGGAAGAAGAAATATTGCCACGCTCGCCGGCGAGCGACCGCGCGCGTGATTGAGTGGTTAGCGTGCTTGATTGTCGCGCAGAAAGTCTGGGTTCGATTCCAGTCAGTGGAATGATCTTTTATTTGTTCTTTCAACATTGCGTTCACGTGTGTTCGAGAACATTCTCGTATGATCGAGTTCCGAATGTTCCAGTCGTCGAACAATCTAAGCCGATTGTTCCAGAACCCAACGCGCGTACATAAGGGACTCCGCCTCCTGATCTGCAAGCAGTTTCGCCCCAGCGCTCGACTCTGCTGTCTCGCCGACCTCGACGCTCGCGACGCTTTGTTATTATTTTCTATTCCCCTTTTTGTTTTCGGCACAAGTTCGCCACATTAAACGTTTATTTCTTCCTGTTTATTTATTTTCATTCTGGTCACCACCCGTGACATTCTTGGTGGAGGTGCGGGGTACCGCATGCCCGTGCAGCGTTCCCCTCCAAGGGCCCGCAGTGCAAGTCCGGTTCCCAGCTCGGTGAGAAGACCACTCACCGCGGAAGCTGAAACTCGGACCAGCCGCCGCACCAAGGAAGAGGATCCTGACTACGGTTTACTGCTGGACACGCCCAAGCCGAAGACGACGACGATGGCCAACCAGTCGCAGAACCCCGCCGCTCCTGCCGTCGTCTACCTACCCGTCGCTCCTCGGACACCGGCTCCCTTCCACGGCGAAAGCCACGAAGGCATCGACGACTGGGTCCAACAGTACGAACGAGTGGCCCGTCATAACGGGTGGACACCAGAACAGTGTCTACAGAATGCTTACTTCGCCTTCAAGCAACCGCTCGGAACTGGTTCGAGAACCACGAAGCATCGATCACCTCCTGGGAGCAACTCAAAGCTGAGTTGCGAAGAACGTTCACAAACCAACAACAAAGAGAACGCGCGGAAGAGCTTCTTCAAGCGAGGATCCAAGGCCCTAACGAGAGCATCGTCAGTTTCGTGGAGGATGTCCTGCGACTCAGCAACCGCGCCGATCCTCAAGCCTCCGAAGCGAAGAAGCTGAGAATCCTGATGCGAGGCGTCAAAGAAAACATCTTCGGCGGCCTTGTACGAGCGCCGCCTACCACAGTCGAAGGATTCATCACGGAGGCAACAAACATTGAACGTGCCCTTCAAGCACGGGCCTCCCATTACCAGCGACTTCCCGGCGTCGCGGCCCCCTCGACTTCCAGCTGCAACAGCCCGGACCTCCGCGAGATTATCCGGGACGTCGTGTGGGAGGAGATCAAGAAACTTCTACCTGCGGCCGCAAGCCCAGCTTCGCCCTCAATCGCCGAGATTGTCAGGGAAGAAGTTCAGCAAGCGCTGCAGCCTGAGGTTCACGTCAGCACCGCTCCAGAACCACCGACATTGAGTTACGCCGCAGTGGCCCGACGGCCACCGCCTCCTCTTCGCACCTATGTCGCGCCGCCCCGACGTCAGTCTCCTGCGCCGCGGCACGACCGACGCCACGACGACCAGGTCCAGTACGCCTGCCCGGAGCCTCTTGCACCCCGCAAGACCGACGTGTGGCGAACGCCCGACCGACGCCCTCTGTGCTTCCATTGCGGGGAAGCGGACCACATCTACCGCCGATGCCCATACCGACGACTCGGGCTACGCGGGTTCCACCCGAACGACCCGCGCCCCCGTCATGGTGAACGCCCTACTGAGATCGACGAGTACCTGCGAAGACCTCAGTCCCCCGAGCCTGCGTCCCGCCGAGAGTTCCGGTCGCCGTCACCGCGACGTCCAGCTTCGCCGATGCACCGACCACGACGTGAAAGCCTGTCCCCCCTCGCTCCTCGCCGGGGAAACTAGGCGCGGCAACCCCTGGAGGTGGAGTTGCCGAAGACGACCGACGCCAAGATCCTCCACGAACGTCGGGGGGCCCCCACTCGAACGCTACCAGAGACCAAAACGACGCCGCTGCAGTGGTGCCCAATAACCTAAACGTCGTCATCGACGGCCACGACGCATCTGCACTCGTGGACACCGGAGCAGACTACTCAGTCTTGAGTGGGAGGCTCTCCCGCCGCCTTCGAAAAGTCATGACGCCGTGGGATGGACCTCAAATACGAACCGCCGGAGGGCACCTCATCACACCCATCGGGAGATGCACTGCTCGCGTCGAGATCCGCGGTGAGACGTGCCCTGTGAAGTTCGTCCTTCTACAAGACTGTTCCAGAGACGTTATTCTCGGCATGGACTTTCTGTGTGAATACGGCGCCGTCATCGACCTTGGTGAGAACAGATTGACGCTGCGCAAGCCTGTTCCGTCTTCAGAGAAACCTCAAACAGCGTCAGCCGCCGTCCGAGTCGCTGCCGACCACGTGAACCTGCCACCGCGATCAAGTGTTGTCGTACCCGTTGTGGCTGATGCAGCTACCTGCGGCGAAGTTGTTCTTGAAGGCAACCTTCAATTACTCCTAGAAAGAGGAATAGGCGTCGCAAGAGGAGTGGCTGAACTTCAGGATGGGCGCACCGTGGTCTTCGTGACAAACTTTCGACAAGAAGCGCAACACCTCACGAAAGGTTCCGCTGTAGGCCACGTCGAGGAAATTCGGAACTCCGCCGAAATCGCCGCGATTGCTGATGAATCATTCCCACCTCAGCAACACATTACGGCACCAGCGCAGCTCGACATTGACCCCAAGCTTCCAGGCCCGAAACGACGGCAGCTAAGGGAACTTCTCGCCGAATACAGTGACTGCTTCGCGACGTCGTCGAGGGTGCGCCAAACCGCCATTGCGAAACACCGCATCGTTACCGAGGAGGACACGCGCCCTGTGCATCGATCGCCGTACAGAGTCTCCGTTAAAGAAAGGGAGGTGATCCAGGAGCAAGTGCAAGAGATGCTGAACGACGACATAATCCAACCTTCAAGCAGTCTGTGGGCCTCTCCAGTTGTACTGGTTAAGAAGAAGGACGGAACGCTTAGGTTCTGCGTGGACTACCGGCAGCTGAACGCAGTGACGAAGAAAGACGTCTATCCACTCCCCCGCATCGACGACACGTTAGACCGGCTGCGCCCCTCCCGATACTTTTCCTCCATGGACCTGAAGAGCGGCTACTGGCAGGTCGAAGTCGACGAGCGGGACTGAGAGAAGACAGCTTTCGTCACGCCAGATGGGCTGTACGAGTTCAAGGTGATGCCCTTCGGACTGTGCACGGCTCCTGCAACTTTCCAGCGTGTCATGGACACCGTACTGGCAGGACTGAAGTGGCAGAGCTGTCTCATCTATCTCGGTGACGTCGTAGTGTTTTCCAGCGACTTCGACGAGCACTTGCGACGACTCCGAGCAGTTCTCCAAGCCATACGGACCGCCGGACTCACCCTGAAGCCGTCAAAGTGTCGGTTCGCCTATGATGAACTGAAGTTCCTAGGTCACGTGGTTAGTAACGAAGGCGTTCGCCCCGATCCAGAGAAGACTCGCGCTGTCGCAGCATTTCCAGCACCGACAGACAAGAAGGCCGTGCGAAGGTTTCTTGGACTACGTGCCTACTATCGGCTCTTCATCCGGGATTTTGCAAGGATTTCCGCACCACTCACAAACCTCACAAAGGACGCCGAGAAGTTTGAATGGGCCGAGAAGCAGCAGCAGGCATTCGACGAGCTGAAGCGACGACTGCAGACTCCTCCTGTTCTTGGACATTTCGATCAAGATGCGGAAACCGAAATTCACACGGACGTAAGTAACGCTGGACTTGGCGCGGTACTGGTTCAAGTGCAAGACGGCACCGAGCGAGTTATCGCCTACGCAAGTCGGACACTGTCCAAGGCGGAGAAAAATTACTCCACGACTGAAAAAGAATGCCTTGCTGTCGTCTGGGCAATCACGAAGTTTCGTCCGTATTTGTACGGGAGCCCGTTCCGTGTAGTCACGGACCACCACTCGCTCTGCTGGCTTGCGAACCTCAAGGACCCGTCAGGACGCCTCGCTCGATGGAGTCTACGACTACAAGAGTTCAACATGACTGTGGTCTACAAGTCAGGCCGCAAGCACAGCGACGCTGACTGCCTGTCCAGAGCCCTGGTCGAAACACCTTCCGCCAGTAGCAACGACGATGACGAAGAGTGCTTCCTAGGTGCAGTAAACACCGACGACATGGCACGACGTCAAAGAGACGATCCTGAGTTGCGCACGCTAATCGAGCACCTCGAAAAACGAGGGGGTAGTGTCCCCCGTGTCTTCTCGAGAGCCCTGCCGACTTTCGTCCTCCGACAAGGCGTACTTTACAAGGAGAACTTCGGAGACAACAGCACACCATGGCTGCTGGTAACCCCTACCGACCTTAGAGCGGAGATCTTCCAAGCCTGCCACGACGACCCGACGTACGGACACCTTGGTTACAGCCGTACGCTGGCCCGAATCCGTGAAAGGTATTACTGGCCCAAGCTGCCGAAGACCGTTCACTTCTACACACGGTCCTGCCACGAGTGCCAGCAACGCAAGAAACCGCCGACGAAGCCGGCAGGTCTCCTGCATCCGATCGCTCCCCCGACCGTACTGTTCCAGCAGATCGGAATGGATCCAGCAGATCGGAATGGATCGCCGACATGATCTCCATGTATGTCGACGTGGAGCACAAGACATGGGACGAGGTGTTGCCGTACGTCACGTTTGCTTACAACACGGCCGAGCAAGAGACCACCGGGGTGACACCCTTCCAACTGGTTCATGGTCGCAAAGTAACGACAATGCTGGACGCGATGTTACCCCACGAACTGGCTGTCAACGGAAGCGACGACGCCCAGGTGGTTGCCCAACGAGCAGAAGTCCGCCAGCTCGCCAGACACCGTATTCAAGCCCAACAACGTGTCGACACTGGCCGCTACAACCTCCGTCGTCGGGACGTCCACTTCCAGCCCGGAGACAGGGTGTGGGTGTGGACACCGATACGTCGCCGTGGTCTCAGTGAGAAACTCCTAAAGCGCTACTTCGGACCCTACAAAGTACTTCGTCGACTCGGGGATCTGAACTACGAGGTGATGCCCGACGGAACACGGACTTCATCACGCCGCGCTCCACGACCGGAAGTCGTCCACGTCGTGCGCCTCAAGCCTTACTACGCGCGATAAGACTGCGAACTGTGATCTTGTGCACCGCTTGATAGGATTGTGTTTCGCGAGCCTCCGTATGTTCCCATTTTTTGTTTGTTTCGCTCTGTTTTGTTGTCTTTTATGTGGCATCGAGACGATGCCTTTTTTAAAGGGGGGAGTAATGCCACGCTCGCCGGAGAGCGACCGCGCGCGTGACCGAGTGGTTAGCGTGCTTGATTGTCGCGCAGAAAGTCTGGGTTCGATTCCAGTCAGTGGAATGATCTTTTATTTGTTCTTTCAACATTGCGTTCACGTGTGTTCGAGAACATTCTCGTATGATCGAGTTCAGAATGTTCCAGTCGTCGAACAATCTAGGCCGATTGTTCCAGAACCCAACGCGCGTACATAAGGGACTCCGCCTCCTGATCTGCAAGCAGTTTCGCCCCAGCGCTCGACTCTGCTGTCTCGCCGACCTCGACGCTCGCGACGCTTTGTTATTATTTTCTATTCCCCTTTTTGTTTTCGGCACAAGTTCGCCACATTAAACGTTTATTTCTTCCTGTTTATTTATTGTCATTCTGGTCACCACCCGTGACAATATAGAGGAGAAAGTTACCGGAAGTCACACGGCTATGCAACATATTTCTTTCTTTCAATCAACTTATTTGCAGATTTTTACAAGCCACAAAAAATGGGTATAATATTTTTGTCTATTTTTAGCATTGAGTGCGTGCCTTTGATGACCCACGACCTTGATTATCTTTGGTGCTGTATCTAAACCATAAAAAACGGCACGTCGCCACAGAGAAGAGAGTGAGCGCGACTCAAACCGGCCAGTTTTCGGGTAGAAAGAAAACGAATTACGAGTCGCTAATTGTGTTCTGGGTAGTTGGGCTCTCATATGACATGTACAAATAAAAAACCTTGGTGAGCAGGTATACCCTATCAGTGTCCGTTTAAGATGAAAGAGTGTACCAAAGAGACAGATGAAATGAATGCAGTTTTATCCTTGAAATTGGCTGACAGCTTGCACCACCTAGAAAGTGTGTTTTTAGTTTTATAGACTAAATAAATCTCTCGGTATGTCCTTCAATATACATAGTTTGTACCGTGTCATACTATTACCTTATTAATTAAGCCTTAAAAATATTGTTGGGAGAGCAATGAAAAGCTCCATACTGCCCTTCTGAACAGTCGGCACAGTTCTTGTCATGAAAACTCTTTAATGTACTATGGTTCGGCGAAACATTCAAGCAAATATTAAGTTGGAGCTTGTGCCCTGGGGACCCGTCATGAGAATGTGGTATTATAGAATGTGTTGAGAATGTATTAAGATAATTTGTCAAGAAAATGTGTCACAAGATTGTGTCATGATGTATAGTACCTCGATAATGTGTCATGAGAATGTGCAAAAAAAATGTCAAGAAAATGGGTCATGGGATTTTGAGGATACCGCCCTGCCATAGAATGAGAAGCGGAAGGTTCCAATTCCATACCTTGGTGCTCCACACGAGCATTTGAGGCACTGAGAGTCGCACGATCGCAGAGAATGCTGCAGCCATTCCCACCGAACTTCTTCATTCTTCAGGTACTTCCTCACGGAAGACAACCTGCAACCAGTAACAGTAAGTTCACAGCACGTCAGAAGAACCAGTCACACTCAATCAACAGGACTTCACTGCTCTACTCATTCATGTGTGGATATAGACGCTTTCAGGCAGCTGTGCATGGGCTCTGCCATAACCGACCTTCAGTTTTTGTTTCCTCTTATTCCGTTCGCTTCACTTCATCGTTGCCACAGTAAGACAGGTTATTGCCACTCTAGGCGCTACTGTGTCTTTCTCCCCAGCATAGGCTTTTGTGGAGGCTCAATAACGCCCACTTCAATGGCTCAGCATCTAGCTAAGACAAGAGAAGGTCGGCAATGGCGACTCAATCTGGCACGCGAATAAAGCGTCTATAAAGAGCAAGGAAACGAAGATTCACAGCAAGAGGTGGCAAAACAAATAATGCATTAAAAAAAGTATAAGGCTGGCCTTGAGATTCCCTTCTTCCTCACTGGCCTTCTCTAGAATCAGCAATATAATAGTTTAATCCATAAGGTTGGAAAATTAGAGATTGAATGCGCAAAAATCGATAGAAATAAAGGGAAATCGCACAAAGTGTTGCCTTCGTAAAAGGGGCTTAAATTTGCTAACCCCTTGGTGAACGTAGGTTGGCAGCTAAAGTAAAACATCTTTAGATGACGTTTAAAATTCTGAGGAATGTTGGATGCCACACTGAGGCTTCGAGCGGGCTTCTTTTAGAGTTCTTCAACCAAGCTTCTGCTAATTTCGTGCCTCGTTTGGTTTCTAATACTAAACCCATAACATGCCAAGGCCAGTTTTAGTAAAACCTTATGTAACAGCCAGAGCAAATCATCCAAACAGAATCAGTGTCTGTTTTTGTCATTCCAATGGTTTCACATTTCTAATCTTTTTTCTTAGAGGCACTGAGCCTGCAAGAAGGGAATGAGAACCTAAACTTTTTTTGTCTTTATGAGCAAGGCCTGTGGAACAAGGCCTGTGAGTCTCTTTTTCCACAGAGATTGCGTTCAGCATATCATCACGACCCACAGAACCACCCCAACGAATGAAGCAACAGTGACAATGTTTCCACACAAACACTCAGGGTGCAACAGTTAGTGTTATGGCAGATTACAATCTCTAATCTGGTACGAAAAATTTCCGTGAGCCTCATTGCTTGTTAGGCCCCCTCATAGTAAAGGCCAAATAGATCTAACCATCTTTAAAAAAAAGTGTCAAAGATCAATTTTGCACGCTCCGAAGTTCCAATTTACCACGAAAATATGACAAGGTGGTGCATTTGTTTTGTAAAAATATTGAAGTACAAAATTTTCTTATGCCTCAGTTTGGAACCTAAAAGGTGTCCTTGTGGGCCATTGGGGTCGTTTCTTAAACAAAACAGGGCATGAGAGAAAAGTCCAAATGATCATAATCCAAACCCTGAGACAAGAAGAAATAAAGTAACAGACAAGACGACACAAAATCTCAAACACAGCTGCATTTATTATTAGTGAGGGAACAACAATTTATAGCCGTCCACAGACAAAAAAGAGGGAATGCAAAAAGACATGCCGCCACAAAGATGCAGAATTAAGCCAGGCTGACTGACCTCCACCCAGACACCACACCAGCAGCACACACCCACTGCCAAGCTACCCAACAAGATAATCCCCGTCAAGGCAACGTGAACCAAGCTAAAGACCACACACTCTCTCCCCCCCCCTCCCTGACCACCCACACCTCGACAACAACAACAAAAGCCCACAACAGAAGGAACCTTCTCACATATTACTTCAAAACTAGTAAAGACTGCTGGCTCACACAATTTTCATGGTCCTCTATACTAAAGGTTTCCTTTAAGATTCTCTTGAAAGAATCGCTCTCTTGCCACAAGATTGAAGTCTCTTCCCATAATGGTGAACACGCATTACATTCAGCAATACATTTGGCTAGTTCAGATGATGGAGATGTGTAAATGACCATCTCTCTTTGAACACAAGAGAAGTGTGAAAAATGTTTCTCCATCACTTGAACTAGCCAAACGCATATTGCTGAATGTAATGCGTGTTTGCCCTTATGACAAAATACTTCAATCTTGTGCAAAGAAGGTGGTTCTTTCGAGAGAATCTTAAAAAAACCTTTGAGTATAGGGGACCACGGAAATTGTGTGAGCCAGCCGTTTATAGTTTTGAATGAACACGTTATAAAGTTCCTTCTGTTGTGAGTTTTTGTTGTTGTTGTTACGGAGGGCTGAGTGATTGGAGGAGGGGAGTCTTTTGCTCGGTTCACATAGCCTTGACGGGTAGCTTCTCAGCAGGTGTGTGTTGCTGGTGTTTTGTCTGTTTGGAGGTCAGTCAGCCTGGCTCAGCTCCGCCAGCTTTGTGCCGGCATGTCTTTATGTCTTCCCTCTTTCTTGTGCGGACAGCTACAAATTGTTGTTTCCTCGCAAATAAACTCGGCTACAATTGAGATTTTGTGTCCTTTGTCCGTTATTTTATTTCTCCTCATCTCAGGGTTTAGATTATGATGTTTAGTAAAATCTTATGCAACAGCTTACCTGCATACTTTTGCTCCTTGCAAATTAATATAATCACAATCTGTTTCGTTTTCATTAAAACGTCCCAACAGCCCACAACAACATTTTTTCACATTGGAACAAAAAGGGCTTAACTCTATGTTGGTCTGTAGAAAAATGACGGTTTTTAAATTGCAACTTTTGTATGAGGCAAGTTCACTCTTTGATATTTTCACAAAACAAACACAGCACCTTGTTGCTCATGGTAAATTGCAGTGCTGAAGCACGCAAAACCTATTATTGCGATTTATATAAGGCGGGTTACATCAATCAGGCTTACCCCATAAATTGAAAAAAAAAAAACAAGAAAAAGATGCAAAACTCGACAGCTTCATTTTTTATTTATTTATTTATTGATATTTAATTTATTCATCATTTTCAACAAAAACCTGCTGCTGTTGCCAACACTTTTGCTTTCAAATAAAAACACTGACCTGCCCAGACCAGCTGCGCCAGTAGCTTGGTGGCTCCAACATACGACTACCACCTCAGCGACCCAAGTTCGAGCCACGCCCCGGGGGCTTCAACTTTACGTATAAACTTTTTATACAGACAGGGCCGTGGAGACAAATCCAGACTTTTTCCAGATTTCGTCTGGCAACAATACAGTGAAGCTAACCGGCCATATTGCGCTTCTGAGGCCACATTATTTGACAGCGGACCATCGCATAATGAATAACTCTCTGCCCTCCGCAGTACTGCTGCGGACGGCAGCCATACTTGATTCGCTTCGCGCCAGAAAATTGCCTAAGCAAATCATTGTGTGCTTTGACTACAAGAATACGCAAGTTTACAGCATTGCCAAGACGTTCAGGAAAATTGCACAGCCAGGAAGACGTTACGGCAAACCGAGCAAAGAACGAAAAATGGTTGAATCGCAAAAAGAAACAAAGAATTCGTTTGCAAACTGAAGCGAAACATTGAGAAGGATCCTGGGCGCAGTACGAACGACCTCGCCAATGGAATGGGAGTGGTGAGGTCAACAACAAGTTTGGCAGTGCATAAAGACCCACATTTCTTTCTTTGCCTCCATGTGTTTCCCAGAATATGGTGAATTTTCCGGAATTATCTCGACGACCCTATATAACCTTAAATGTGTGCAACGCTCCCAGCGCATCGTGGCACTCGCCACGATGCTCATTATGATGCTTGTTTGTAACGATTTTCTCACAGAAAACGCCGCATGAAAGACATTCCGCGTTAAAAAGCAGGATCATGGCGCATTCGCCGCACACAACAGGTTTCGCCGGTTATAGCAAATGCAGAAAGATGACGAGTGCCGTGACGATCCATTCTTAGTGCTGCTCAGCTGCGGCTGGACCAAAGACCGATTCGCACACTTGCGACAGGTACTTACGACAGCATGCCTTAAAACCTCTTACGGCGAGAGAACACGCTGGAGCCACCTCTCGGGTGGCCCTGATACACCACCATTTCCGTACATTTCCTTTTTCTTCGCGCATTTTTTTTTTTTTTTTTTTTTTTTTGCTCGAAAACTTGTTGGCAGTGTTAAAAAACAATTGTTATTCACGGACAGTACGTACATTTGATATCGGAAATACTGTGAAACCTTCGCTCTAGCGAAATGCAGTTCCAGAGTCACCTTATAGATGGCGCCAGACGTGCTCTCTCGTCGCAAGCGATCGCGAGAGCTCGGTCGTCGGCAGACGCAAGCGTGTGAACGGGGCGGGTGAAACGGGGTGTAACGAGTTCAAACGGAACACTCGAGTCCGGTGGGCGAGGGCTCACGTTTGGGGCGGTGAAAAGGACGTCAGGGCCACCCGGACCGCCTTGAGGAAGAGGGACGGGTGGGCGTCAAAGTAGCGGGTCAGGTAAAGTACGTCCCTGGCCGTGAGGCAGCCCGCCTTCTTCAGGAACACCTCGTCCACCCTGTCCGGAGCCACTTCGTGGAGGCTGGGGATGGGCGCAGACGCAAACAACCGCATCTCTAAATGCCACTCTTTGTAAAAGAAGTTTTCTACGGCTAAACCCCTTTACTACGGCGTGCTACGAAATGTTAGCCAAAATGTTTGAGCAAAATCTAGAGTCACTGCCAGAGTGCCACCACACTTTTCTCTAAATCACCTCTCACTACCGTCAGTCAGGTTGTTGCAGTGGAGATGGGCCAAGGGGGCTCGGCTTCCGCGGCAACCGATAGTAAAATAGGTAGTGGGTAATATTCATGACATGTGAGGAGATAATCTACCCAACAAACTTTTCAACGTGCTACTTAAAAATTATTTTTTTTTACATTTGTAGTCACTTGTAAGGAACACATACTCCTTAGCACAAAGAAAGAAACTTGTTTCTTAACTCATACTTCAAATTCTCAGAGAAGCAGTTGCAAACACTACGAAAACCTTAATTGTCTAGCTCGCCACTCAAATTGACGAAACCAAGGAAACAAGATTTCTAACTATGGGCTAACTTTTAGAACATATTGAACGACAAAAAATTAGCAGAAAATGAATGGGTCATCTTTCGAATTGTTATGACGCATAATTCACAATCCTCCGGAAGAAAAAATTGAATGAAAATAATTGTGCGATATGTCGTTGACTCGAGCATCCACAATCAAATCGGCCACACAAGAAAAGCGGGGTATCCGGAAAGCAATCTGGTAGAGATTGCTGAAAGCCTCGTGTCAAAATGAAAAAGAGACAAATCGAATGTTCTCCCAAAGAAACAACAGAAAGTGGTGGTATTACCCATGTTCACAGATTGCCGCATGACCTCGATAAGATTGCTGGCCACTTTGGCATTGCCAGGGTATTCCCAGCATCATTGAACCTAGTACCTAGCTTATGCCCAAGAGTAAACAAGAGCATGCACGAGGAGAGCACGTACACGAAAAACAACAACATGCAGACAAATATGTAGAATGCGCCACCTCGGTAGCCTACGACACATAAATGCATTAATGAAAGGATGCAAGAGCATGAACATTATGTAATGTAACATTATGTACTGGACGGCATAGTTCCCCTTCGAAGAACTATGTCGTCCAGTGCAACAGGTGCCCGTGTGATCTTGTACTAGTTGAATCATAGATTTTGGACAAGTATAAAAACAAAACAGAGAGAGAAATTTTTAAAGCATTTAAAATCGGTGTATGGGAGGAGGACGGGTGCAGCAGTGTGTCGTCACTCATTATGTAAGGTAAGGAATTCAGATTTATTTCGCGTAAGGTATAATCAAGTGTGTATATATGTTCATGCTTCCCAAATAAAACTCGGTTGTCGGTAGTACTCCGTGCGACCATCCTTACTTCCGAGTCCTCTATTTTTTGTCACTTTTACGTAAAAACGTAAGGCCTTTGCCGTACTCACAGTGCGAGGTAGCCAATCAAGGGCCCCAACTGGGCCCCGGCCTTCTCGACTTGCTGCAGCACCCAGATCCAGTCCTGGTTCCCGCTCTCCCAGAGCAGCCTCCTCCGCGCCTGCAGGCAGCAGCCGGACGCCAGCGCGCTCCACGATTCGAAGCACGGATCTTCGGACATCCGGACCGCATCCCAGGCCACGTCGACCTCCAGGAGGTGGAAGTAGCAACGAATGAAAAGTGCCACCTTCGTGTCGGAAGGATTGCACCTTGGTGCCTCCTTCTTCCGCGGCGTCTGGAGAACCATCGGCATCCAGGACATTGAAGTCACCTCACTCTGCGAGGCCTGACTAGGGGACAGCTCCGCTCCCTGGCTCGCGGCGTCCGCGAGGCATGCCCTTAACAACTCGTCGTGGTCCGCGCAGCCGTTGACGCTCGTAGATTCGGAGTTGTCGCGATCTGCGAGCTCACGTTCCTTCGGCACGATTGCTTTCTCCCACCCATCCACACTCTCGACGAGTCGTTTGTCGTGGTTGGGTTCTTCCGGTTCGCCGGCTCCATTGCTTCTAGCTTCGTCGTTCTGGATGAGAGCGGCCTGCCTCTTGGGCAAAATCTCGGCGGGTCCGTCGTCCAACCGCAGGTCCAGGTTGATGGAGTGGGCGCCGTATGACGACGACATGCTCTGGAACATGGCAGACTCACTCGCCGAGTCGATCGTCTGCATGTCCGACAGGTGGAAGCCGCCGTGCTTCTCCGACGTCGAGGACCGCATGGAGAGGCTGAGGTCACAGCGTGTCGAGGCGTCCTCGCTGCCTGGCGAAATCGAGCTCCCCCGCTGCGAGAGCTTCGAGTCCGTCGTCCCGTCGAGAGCAGATGACGGCGACTTCTCCTGGTTCTCCAGGTCGGCCATCTTGGACGCCACCCTCTGCACGTCACCCAGGACCGCCGTCTGCAGGCAGAGCATGGCGAGCTCGCGCGCCTTGAACTTGACGTCGGGCGGGAGGCGGAAGGGGTCGCAGACGAAGACGGATTTGAGCAAACGGAGTCGCCGCTCTGTAGGGGAGGAGGGTGAGGCACCCGGGGACCTCTCCGGGGCGTCGCGGGGAGCAGACGGAAGCTCGGAGGCGTCGATGGAAGCGACGTGCGACACGACTTGGAGCTGGCTGGAGTGGAGGACCTCCACCCAGTTCTCGAGCACTTTGGAGAGTTTGGTCTCGTCGTAGAACACGTTGGGGTCGCTCACGCACAGGCTGGAAGCGAAGGGTTAAAAAAGAATTGCACGGTGCCCGGAAGCATGGTTGTGGCGGTAAAAGTGTATTTGCACGTTTTCATTACAGCGTAATCGAGTGCGCCACGCTCGCCTGTGACCTTTTGCAACCAGAGAACACAATGGCGCCATCTATAAGGTGGCCCCCCCACACGCCAATTTGCATACAAGGTTTCGCCGTAGTATGTGCAGAGGTGAAATCTACGGTCTTTGAGAAATAGTCGCTCATAATATATTACCAGATTTACTTCAAAACCCTGCCAAAAGAATGATGCATATAAAAAAAAAAGAAAGAGCAGTCCTGGTACAGCCGCGGCAAAGTCGTTGGCTCAATTGGCTTCGTTCTCAAGAGCATGCACCTCTGCAGATATCTCTGTGACGAACGGCAGGACACGTCGGCGTCGCCACCGACGTGTCTTTTGGTGTCGGGCAGCGGCTCGCGTTAAGTAGTCAGTGCTGTTAATTTCGACGATTAACTCCGATTAATTTTGAAATTAATTAAGAATGAAGAAGAATGTTTTACTGCGACGTCGCGGCAACCGTGGCCACCTAGCTGGCATCGCTCGAGACTCGTACTCGTGTTCGTTCCGCAAAAACTGTATAATAAAGCAGATCGCCGATGCTGCGGCGTAGCTCCGTGGCAACGCGTCCACTTTGCAGGCGGTGGACCCGGGTTCGATTCCCGAGAGCCGCAGGCAATCTTTTTAGCAGCAGTTGACAACATTGTGACGGACGTCGTGTGCCCTATTATGCCAATTAAAATGTCAACAACATTAACAACTACCACGACGACAACGGATGTCATTTCGGGTGGTGTGAAGAGCCCCAACAGCCTTCGCCGTAAGAAGGAGGCGGACGTTAGACGAGGAAATGATTGTCGTGCTAAGTCGACTAATTAACTAAAACTTGTAAATGGACATTATAATCGTTGGTTTTAGATGCCATGTTGGAATTGCAGTGTTAACAGTAATCATTATTAGAGGCTGAACCAATTTAAAGAATTTTCAAAACGGTAACGGTTTTTGAAATATTAGTAATCAATCAAAGTTCGCTATTTATCGCCAGATTTAAAAAAATTTCACAAAAGTAGTGCATCAAGTCCTGCCCACAACGACGCTTGGAAGAGTGATCTAGTGATCCGGGTCATGTCGTCACTCGTGTCGTCGGCGTACCCACCAAGGACGCACTGTCGAAATAGTAGAATCTGGCTGAAACGACGACGCCACTCTTTCGGGAGTCATTGTGGGTTAGGGCTTGCGACAAAGCAACTCTTTCATTACAAGAGTTTCTCATAATAACTTTGATCCATTCCTTGCCAGAGGGAGGTAAATTCGTAAATGCTAAATTAAATGCCAACAATCGCCGAAACTCCTAGGGAATGACTTTCACGTTGGACCACTCACCTCCACAAGCGTAACGCGGCTTCTAACTCTAAACCAGGGATCTTCAGCTCAAACATGTTTAAAGGGATACTGAACCGAAATTTGGAGCTCACAAAACAAAACAAGGCTGGAAAGATAGGCGGGATGCTACAAAACCCTAAAACAACACTCATACAGTGATATCTCTAACAGATGGTCGTATTTTTAGAAAATAAGTGCACAACCGAACACGCCTGGAAAGGCTGACGAAACATAGCACGTAATGATTCTCATTCCCTCTCCTCTTTACTTCGTCCCCTCGAGCTGGTGAACCGAAGTGAGGAGGAGAGAAGTGAGACCAGTTCCACTCATTCTCAACTGTTCCAGGAGGATCGTTAGGAAAAAGTCTTCGCTTGATCGCGCCCTTCTTTTCCAAAAATACGGCCGTCCGTTTGAGATATTGATGTACGAGTGATGGTTTGGAGTTCGTAGTGTCACGTTCAACGCTTCCGTAGCCTTTATTTTGCGAAATTCAAATTTCAGTTCAGTATCCCTTTAACAAACAGCCTGGATACAAACACAAACTCAACATTACAGCCCCAACCACTGCTGTAACGGCACGCTCGACATAGCGGCAGTTTACGTGTAAACCGCGCGAGGCTCGTAAAAAATTGCTTACCTCGCTTTTTCCGTTGCTTCTATGAGGTTTGTGTTGAGCACAGGGAGAAATGACCAGAATTCGTCCTTGGGAGTCACAGTGGCGTTTGTACCCGAGGGTTTTGAACTTGTATCAGCTGTTTCAAGAAAAAAACACAAAAAAAAACAAAACCAAAAGGTTTTGGTTTAGTCACCAGTTTAGTTTTCGTCATTTGTTTATCTCGTTGTCGAGAAAAACCTAGTTTGAGACTGTAGACTTAATGTTCTATTCACTGTTTAGAGGCCAGTGAGGGGCTGACGAAGTGTGCTGCGATGCGCCTACCAGTTGTACAGTTATAGCAGGGGTCTCAAACTCATTGGAACTTGGGGGTCAAATTTCTGACTCCCGAAAGGTCAAGGGCCAAAGTAGAAGGGGGAGGGTGCTATATTAGGGGACAGAAAAATAGCTCTGGAGGTTCACGTTGCAGAGCAGCTTTGTCTACCAGAAATCCTATAATATTGATTTCATACTCTATGCTGCTTGCAAACTCGCCATTTTTCCAGCGGCATCTGTTGCTTTGAATAGTTTATGCGACTACTTTGGAGAAATACCTGATGAAGCAAGAAAAAGGAAAAAGGCACCGCTCTGAGAACATGTTGACATCTTCCAATTGAACAAGAGAGCATACCGTCATTGCCCCGTCGTTCAACTCACCCAGAGATTAATCAAACTCAATGTTATTAAAAAAACTAAAAAAACTTTTTATGCGGTTTTTGTTATTTCGGCAATTTTGATAGGAGCATTATAAGAATTAAGTCTCGCATTTGAGTGTTTTTTTCTGGCTGCCTGTTCATATTTTAACTTACGACATGCATCAGTGAAGGCGAGACGCTCAAGCTTATAAGCTTTGACAGTTAATCCTGCTACTTTTAAGCTCATGCATTCGAGGAGTGTCCTTGAGCAAGAAGCCCGTGCTTGTAGCCTAGTAGTGGATCGTTGCACAGGTGACTCAAATGAGAAAACGGTGGGAAAAAAACTGAATACAAAACAGCACTTCAAGGAAATGAAGGAATCATCAACATTAGAGTTTTATGGTACCCAGGATACAGTAAGAAACAATTTTTTTTTTAAACTTTCTTTTCCATCTAGACAAACGGAATTTTGCGCACACATTCACGCAACACCAAGACGGCGTTTTCTCCAGTTGGTTTTTACGGAAAATACGCTGCAGATTTGAGCGACGGCGAAGGAGATTTTAGTGGAGAGGAGGACCTTGAAGATGACTCGAAAGTTTCTGCAATGGAGCCTCGGATAAGGATTGCGACAGTTCTGCGAACAGAAGAGACGAAAGAGTTGTACGGACTTTTGCCGTTTCTCGAAGCCGTTCACCCCAAACGGGTGCAGACCGAGATTCTGAAACTACTCGCAGAGTTCAAGATTCAGCACTTTCAGCCGTTTTCCGCAGACGGTTTAACGATGAACTACACTTTACGACCACCGAGTCTCAATTTTTCTTTCGGGGTAAAATAGTTCAGGCTCGGGGGATCGACAAGGTGAAAGGACGCGTCACTTTAAACGTTTAGGCGTCAAAGGGGCTCGAGTGTTGTCCCTCTGAAGCGTAATCATTTACTGCCTCTAGCAGGCACTAATGACTAGCAAAGCAATTGATACCAAAAGCACGATCGTCGAACATACGAGGCAGCGGTGCCTAGCACGTACCCGGACCGTGCTCGGGAACGGTCGACAGAGGCGATGCCAGGTCGAGCACGTCGGCGGCCTGGTCGACGGAGACATACTTCAGCTTGGATTCCAGGCCTCGGATGTTTTTCAAGATGGCGTCCTTGCCATTGGAGATCTTTGAACACAGGCTGAGGGTCGAAAAGTAAGCGGGAAAATCGAATCAGAGATGCGCAGAATGCTTTTCCCGCTAAATTTAGCATGCGGTGATCGTGCGTAGTCTTCGGCACGCCATGTGACGTTGCCGCGTCATGTTGTGGAGCCAAGCGAGGTCCCGTCATGCAACTCCACGATATCATGAAGCCATGTGAAACGACGAACCGGTGGCGTTTTGCGATATTCATGGCTGTTATGTGATTGCGTGACAACTATATAGTGGTAATATGATCACATAACTCTGGGGGATCATGTGATACCTATAGTGGTCATGTGATCACGTAACTATAGCTTTATGGCACCATGATCCGTATGGTAATTATGTTATCCCATAATGTACGGTGACCATGGGATCATGCGACATCACGTGGTACCTCCCGATGTTTTGCAGCAACACAAGTACATAGCAGCTGTGACGACATTAATCCAAGTTGCTCCTCCTCCGTAGAATAGACCATGAGACTTCAGAGCGAGGGGTGGGGTTTAATTCCTCTAAAACAACAAACTGTCTTTTGTAAAGACATCTGGTCCCGTTATCATGTTTTCGCAACAACTTTTGGTCACACTCTAGACTCGGAAACAAGCCCACAGAAACATACTGGTTCAGAAAAAAAAAAAAGCAGGCAGGTGGATTCTTTTTTTGCACTCCGGTTTCTTTTCCACATTGCGAGTGAAACTGAAAAGGGCAAGAATAAGCTGCTATGAGAACATCCATCTGCAAGTACGAGAGCAATCCGATGAAGGTTTCCACCACAGACGGCCACCAAACTCAACATAATCATATAAACAGAGTGTGCCTAAAACCGGAGTGATGAAAACCAAAATTTTGAAAACTAGCATTGCGACAGTAAACAAGTTGCAAAAGGCATACACTGCTATTTTAAATATAACGCAAAAAAAAAAGACAACAATTGCAAAATGCCATTTTTTTGTTAGGGTTGCAACATGTCACATAATAATTGACGACATTCCAGATGGCTAGACAGTAGCACCCTGTGCTAGGAAGGGGAGAATGCAAAGCTGCAAGCACTTCAGACCTGCTATCTCTTACCACACTGGCATATTAGCCTGCGGTATTTCTCCCATAACCATGGAGAAACTGTCTCATATCGTTATTATGATTAAGCATCTATAATCTAGTCGCCGATAATGAAACTGACTAAAGGCTGGTTCAGACATTTGCACTCGAGTGTGACCGGCCACTTCATGACTGCTTGCGACAGTTCACGATGAAAGGGTCATGCCATTTTTAAAATGAAATTACGGACAATAAATGCGCAAGATGTGGGCTGCATCGACATTTACGACAAGGGAGACGTGGCAGAACACCCGTCGACGGCCTGCTGTTCAGGTGGTTCAAAAACGGCCTGAAGTGCGGCAGCACGGACTGTGGCTGGAGAGACTGTGCTCCACCCATCGCAGCACGCCGTTACCATATGCAACTTATAAAGTACCAACTTTTGAAACCTACTGTAACATCCCGAGTCGTCGCCCATCCCCGAGTCATTGCTGACCCCACTTTTGAACCAATCATGATTTCCAAAAAGCACAGAGTGATTGCCCACCTATACAAATACCGAAATGCAAACTCCGCGATCTGCGAACATTCATCCTACCCGAATGACGCTGCCGCGGACCTTAGGGCTGGAGGGCGTCCGTGACAAAGTGAAACGAAAAAGGGCAAGACACTTAAGTTTGTTTACGCATTTCCTACCCGATTTCTGCGACCCTGAAGTTGGAGTACATGCCTGCAAAAGGAAAACCATGGAGACACCAAAAATATTTGATCGGACAAAAAAAGAAGTTGGAAAGATAACACGAGCCGTAACCCATTCAGGGATCATGAGGTCAGCGAATGCACCACATTCTGGAATGTAACCGCGGAGTGCAAGGTTGAAGATGTATGGTCAATGTCTTTCTCCACCAAATTAAGGTCCACCGCGAACCCGCTCCTTCTCCCGGAACGTCGCGACCGCGGTTGGTAAGGTTGTACAATGTTTGAGACGAAGCCAACGGGTAAATAAAGATTTACTGGAACGTCGCACGCAGACATTTGTAAAGCGTCCCATTTCGAGCTCCGCGTTAATGGTGCCGTCCACGCCATGCAGCAACGCCGCCTCAACTCGTGTTGACAGCATGGCAAATAATTTGGCACGAAGCCAAATTATTTGCCAATGCAATCGCCGGCTTCTCTACTTCCCCAGCATCACTCATTTCGCCCGCTTGCTCGCTCTCTCGTTGTGCCTAATTGTTTTTTCTATTTTCTTGTTCACTCTTTTTTTTTTTTTATTAACAAATGAAGAAAAAAGTTAGAAACACGCTTTCACGAAACACACACCCGCACTGTATGCCGATCGCTGGTGTTCATTGCGCGTATGCAAGCCACAAACTTTGCAATAGTAAAACATTCTTTCATGAGCATTTCTTGCATGAAACAATGAAACTAATTCAAGTTTGATGTATCTCTTCTGCAACCGCGCTAAATACGTACAAAAAAATGGGCGTTTTTTAGCTTTTTTCGACAGCGAAGCTGTTAAAGAGGCACTGACACGTCAAAATCACTTTTTTTTTTAATTATCCGAAACGATTGAAAATTTTGCCTCGACATTACCCTCAAAATTTGAAACTTGGGAATTCGGTACTTGTGAAGTAGAAAAACAATTTCCAAATGCCGAATTTGAAGTTCCCAAGCGATCCGCGCTACTGTAGTGACGTCAAATATTGAGTGGCCCTGCGAGTCGACTTTCTTTCATGCCTCCGCTCCGAATGTGCGTGTGTGTAAGCGTTTTCCGCCGTTGCCGCTGCGACCCGAAGCGAGGACGTGAGGAGCGGGAGAGAAGGGTGCCGGCGTACCAGGAAAAACCGGTTACCTTCGTGCGTGCTGTGCCGTCTGTCCATCGCTGAGAACAGACGACGCTTGACGTCTCGCCGCTTCTGCGTGAAAGGCTGCCCCAGCGGAGTCACAACCAAAACAACGATACACAGACACCGAAAAACCCAATTGTTTTGACCGTCTCACTATTTCTTTTCGAAGTCTGAGAGGTCGTTGGGCACCTAAAAAAGACCACTTCGTCAGATACCCCGACTCACCGATCAGCCATGTTTTCTGAGGGAGGATAAAAATCCAGGAGGCGACATCACAATGGACTCCTATTTTTGGTATATCAAAAAGAAGGGCCGTAGTGCATTCGCAATTGCGTTAAAACACATGTTTTACGATTGCCGTTATTAAATGTTACAGAAATGACGTCTACAAAGCTTAAAAATTTCATGATAATTGACGTCGCAAATCAAAAGAAGCGAGGCGGTCAAAAGCGGGAGTGAAAAATGCCAAAAATAAAAAGGCGCGCCCGCGAGTGGGGCAATTTATTTTGTGATGCGGTATTTTTTTGCGTGCCTATGACTACAATTTGTGTCGTTTTAAACAATAAAAAAAAATAGGACCTTTGGGGTGTCAGTGCCCCTTTAAGGGCTAGTTTCCCCAGGATCGTGTCTGCCAGCAAATAAATGTCGACACAACACTTCGGACAGCTACCTCCATCTATGAGTGACGGCGGCAACCAGACAACCGGCTTACCAGTAGTCTGGATGACGCTGTTGCTCATAAATGGCGACAACCTTTTTAGCCTTTCCACTTTGGCTTGCCGACTTGCGGCCAGCCGATACTTCATTCCCACCATAGTACAGCTTCGCTGGTCTTCCTTCTTCACCAGAGTGGAAAGGCTGAAAGCTTTTTTTTTCCTTTTTGTGCTTATCCACTGGGACATGGTCCACCCCACTTTTTTTATGAATTTCAGGTGGCAGGGAAGTGGGCGATGATTCTGGATATTACGGTACGATGGTGAGACTAATAGACTGGAAAATATTATGGTTATTTTACGGCTCCGGTTAAGAGAGTCACCGGTGCCCCACTTCGACAACCCGACCGTCAAGAAACAAAGTTGGGAACGGACGTGCACGAAAACCCTTCCACTCACGTCTCCCGAAGCTTGCCGAGGTCCGCAACGTTCCCGAGCTGTGCCAGTTCCGCACCCCGCATGTTGAACGCTCCGGATGCCATGCTGGACGTGTAGAGGTTCAGGTACTGGTAGATGCTCTCATAGCCCATGTCCTGCTCTGCATACATGCTCGCGAGCACTTCCGGATCCACCCGATCCAAGGGACTCATTGGCGACTCCAATGGAGATGCTGGTATCACCGGTAGCGTTCGGAGCGCGCTGCCAAGAGCTCGCCTGTTGTTGTTGTTGTTTCCGTGCTCCGAAGCAGAGCAGCCAGGCTCCGGAGCACCGTCGGAGTCTGCTGGACTTGCGTCCTCGACGGAGTGACTCTGACTGTCAACCGTTTTATTGTTATTATTGTTGTTATTTTGTAACCTATGGACTAAGCCCCTGCTTCCGACTCCGATGCCAACTAAGCTCGGCACGGGAGAAATTGAGTCTGCGGCGCGACCGAGGTTAGAGAGCTGGCTTGGCCGTTCGGCCAAGTGAGATTCTGGGTTGCGCCTATGTGCTTCAAGGCTACGGCTTCGGCTCCTCTGCGGCCCGGCTGCAGCTACGGTCGAGGCCGGAGACGAGCTGCGAGATTCGGGCACGCTTGCAACTCTCGAAAGGGCGGAACTAGATGTCGTCGGACTGCAAGCCTTGATTGGCTTCGGCTTTGGGATGCACTTCTCGGTCGAAGCCGTGCGGCTCAGAGATGCCGGGGGAAGTGGATCGCTTCCGCGTCTCGGAATCCTCCGGATCGGCTTCGGGCTCGGAGTCTTTGCCTTGGCTATGGCCGGCTCCGTCGAGTGGCACCGGACGTGGCGTGGCGATGAGAGCGCATCGCGGTCCCTCGTGACATTGGGGCCGTTTCTGTGGTTGCGGATGGTCGGGGACGGCTCTAAATTTGGACGGTCTGGCTTCGGCTTTGGCTCGGCAAATCCCGGAATAGATGGGGGCCTTGCGGTGGCATCGAAGCCGCAGGCGTCGCTTAATGCTTTTGAAACGGCCTCTGCCACGGAAGCCTCTCCGAGTTCGTCGAGCTTGTCCAAAAGTTCGAAGACGAGGGTCGGTGGAATGGTTGACTGGAAGACAGCACTGCTCAGGCAACAACTGTTCTGGAGGAGAAATTGTGCACACAGGGCTGTCCGACCATGATGCATCAGACACGGGACGACCTGTTCCGGAGTGAGGAGAGCACACGACCGGAATTCACCATTGAAAAGCTGGAGGTAGATGGTGTTTCGGATGCACCGTGCATCTTTGACGTCTGCGGAGAGAGAAAACGGCGATGCGGATAACCAGTTCCAAAGTGCAAACTTTTGCCGTACGTAGCAGGAACCTTTTGTCCTCACCTTTTAATTGGTCATTCCATAACATGACCTTGGCTCGATGAGGGTCGATCACATACAGGCCCCTCGCACTCCAACTCATCAGGAACGGCATGCTTTCCCCGCTGCGTGCATAACCAAGTGTCACGCGACTCAATCAATAAGACTCACAGGAAACAAACTTCAAGGTCTAGCACAATGCATGTGAACAGTGAAATGATGGACATGGACACACAGCACCTTGCCAGCTTCTCCTCTGACGTACAAGTACTCGTGTACCACTGCTGGTTGGCTGGTACAAGTGCTGGGATCCTTGATCTAACAAGAGCGAGGTAAAATTGCTAGTAGCTTGGTACTGGAACCTCTGGCCTTCCAGTATTGAGGCACAGTACTGGCAGGTCATACCAGTACCGGTATCACCAACCTGCTGACAGTGAGGTACCAGTAGTGGAGGGCGGTTACCAGTACTTGCAGGCCGCTACCAGTGCTGGTCTGTCAGTACTATGATGTGTAGCAGATTAAGAAAGGCCGGGCAGTCCCCTCCCACAAAGCTCTCTGCTTGCCATCATTGCTGGTTTCCACCTTTCCACTCACCTTCTCTCCTGCTCTGCTAAAGCAGAAAGAGTGAAGAACTTCGAAGGAGGAACCTGCCCCGCTTTTTTTAACATGCAACAGACTATAGTACTGACCTACCGTCGAGAACAGATCAAACAAATCTGATGACAACTGCAGCCTACCTTGCCCACACAGTCAGCAGCTTGCAGAATGCCGTGCCCTGTCCGTTTCCTGGTGCCACATTTTCCACTGCATTGTTGTCCGACCTGGAGGACACGGTTCCAAATGAAAGATGTGAGAAAACAGGCCCCGCTTGATCCGATAGATTTTGAAGAGGTAAAAAAATCTTTGATTAGTTTTGCATATTTAAAAAAAAATTTGGTTTAGAAGAAAGAGTGCTGCGAGTCAGTGTCAAAATCACCACCTACACCGTCTGTCCTTCATGTTTTTGTGGCCATCCTTGCCTGTTATAGGATCTTGCTGCTTACAACTTCTATTCTTGCTTTAACCCTTTGCCTACCGCAAAAATTAAAAAAAAAAAAAAAAAACGGTTTGAAAATACTGATTCTTTTTATGTGCCCCATAAATTTAATATGCAATACAAGGCCAAAAACAAATAACAAAAATTTATTATAGGAGAGATCTTTGAACACACTGCAAAAGAAAAGGAGACTAAGTTCGGCTTCACTACATTACTGCAGACAGTTCACATCACCTTCCACATGGACGTTCAGGCCGGGTGTAGCAGTACTGCAGACAGTTCACCTTACCTTGCACGCAAAGTGAACGGAAAACGTGGAGGGGCAGGAGGGGGATTTTTTACGTTGATTCTAGTCCAATGCCAACATGCCGACACGATGTCCTCATCGAAATAGAAGTCGTCTGAGCTAAAATCCAATAACTCAGTTGCATCGCTCTTGCTGTCCGATGAAAGATTCATTTCCTCGTCTTCCGAATCTGAAGAGACGTCACAATATCTTCGTTTTTGCCCCAATTTTGATGCCAGATCGTCACTACGAATGCAGCGACCAGAAGATGTTGCCGTCATTTTGAAATCCCTTGTTGCCTGCATTGGAATAATTTTCCACCAAATTCAGAAAGTTACCATGTTTTTATTTTCCTCGGAGCGCCATCTATCCACGGCAAAGCTAGCTATAAACACGTGGACTAGCCCGTTCGTCCATGGTAGCGCATTGGAACCCTAATCAACATGGACGAGCCCAGCTCGTCTTCGGGAGGAGCGGTACAAACAGTGTGGGACGAACTCAGGTCGTCCATGGTAGGGAAAAGGTTAAAGCTGAAATCGGGCTGCGATTGTCGGGTTTCAAAAGCACAGTACGAGCCACCCCCAGGACCGAGAGACCAAACTATGGTCGGTGACAGGTTAAGAGTTCAAGGAAGGCTCCCACCCCTTACCACTTCAGCAGAGCAAATGGTGGAGAGGAGGCGACCTCCTCTCCAGCATTCTCTCTGCTAAGTGCAAAGAGGTGGGAGGAGCTTTCACATCACTCTTAACCTGTCACAGACTATACGCTTAATTACTACCTTGTGACTGGGGGCACCACTAGGTCAAGGTCCTGCACAGCTAAATAAAAGGAGAATGTAGAGGTTTGGTTTTCAGATTCCGTCCATGCCCTCACAATTATCCCAAATCATTGAAATCGTCATCACACTGCCGGACACTGCCGTACAGACCGTAAAATGTGTACAACAAATCTAGAGGGAAAGGTCTGCCATCTTCCCATGCTTTTTGGTCACCTTGAAACAGTGAGGCATAGCAATAGCCATTAGTGGTTGCAGTGGGCCCATATTGCTGGCAATAATTTAAGAAAGGAAAATATACTAAGGATGATACCTAATTATTCTAGGTTTATTTCAGAAGAAAACACTGGCATCACACACTAGATACAAAAAAGAAAAAAGTTGAGAGGAAACTGACGACTTCAGAACATTGCAAAGAAACAAACACGCCAAACATTTCATCTGCTTTGGTTTTACGTTTCTCTGTGGTTCCCTTTTAGAGTGATGTCTCGCTAATATGGACACCTCCATTCTTCCAGAAAAAGCATGCATAATGTGAGTTGTCCATAACAACGTGACAAAAATGAACGTATTTACCGTAGTTCATCCTCGAAAATGCTGTCAATATAATGGGACCACTGGTGTCAGTGCCTACAATTTGCCGCACTTGGCCCCTCTTATCACCCTCTCCTGTCAGACTAACCTGTCAGTGACCAAAGGAGTAGGTGCAACAGCCAGGGCCTCTTTGAACTGATGGGTCTTCAAAACACTTCCTCGCAGATCAGCCTGAAATGCAAGCATGCGAAAAATGTACCCTCCCGAGAAAAAAAAGAAAAATAACACCTAAACAATCAAACATTTTTCTTATTTTTTTATTTTTTTTTAGAGAAGGACGTTGTAAGCCATTACTACAGTGCCATGGTCCCTCGATCCCCTCTCCTGTTGCCCTAGGAGTGACCTGCCAGTCTTCCTTGTGAACAAAAGAGTGTTCGTGAGGGGGAAAAGTTCTGTCTGCCGTGATGGACAGTGAAAACCGCGAAAGCCAAAGTCGTGTTGAAAGTGTTGAATGCGGCCAAAGTCAAGGCGTTTTGAGCACTTTTTGCTGCGTTTATCTGCGCTCGTGTGAGTAGCCTGATTTTGGATGAACATTAAAGCTCACAAAAAAAGTGAAAGCTGTTTACAACTCCCTGTAACGCCGAATTAGAGCGCAGTTCTTGAGGAGGAGGAGGGAAGGGTACTGGGGGTCACATGTCTCAAGGGGGCTCGGGAAGGGGGGGGGGGGGTCACGTGACCCCCCCCCCCCTTGAGGTCACGTGACCTCGGTGGGGTCATGTGACCTCGGGGGAGGGGGTCCACGTAGGGGGGTCACGTGAGTGACCTCGAGGGGGGGGGGGGGGTTACGTGACCACGGGTGGGGGTGGCACGTGACCCCCCAGGTCACGTGACCCCCCAGAGAAATTTTTCTGCTAGATTTAGCGGGAAAATTTTTCCGCTAAATTTAGCGGGGAAATTTACTCATAATGCACCGCGCAGTTACGCCGAAGCCGACGGCGACGCCGCTCAAGCCGGAAACGGGCGCCTAAGAGCTGCGCTCTAAAATGAGGACAACAGGGAAGAAACACACACCACACACAAGCACTAGCTCACAACTGATCGATTTATTGTTACTTAGTAGATAAAGAAAACACAGAAAAAGAACACTCCCCCCAATACAGACCCTGCACAACTCACTTAAAAAAAAAAGAATAAACAAATTGATTTGTTGTGAGTAAGCGCTAGTCTGTGGTGCATGTATTTTCCCGGCTGTCCTCATTTATGATGCGCTTTAATCTTCACCACGAATCACTACCAAGTGGCCCAACCTTCCACCCTTCTGCAGACTGATTTTTCAGTCATTTTATAGAGTAGTTTTTTAGAGTTGCTGGGTTTTCACGGGAATTACGGGGCACGCAATGCCTAACAATTGCAGCCTGCCGTGTTGCAAATCTGGTGTGCCAAGAAACCCAAATCTCCGATATCACGAGGTGCCATCCAATGAAAACCTTCAGGATGCCTGGTTGCGAAACATTTCACGGCAAGGCACCAAGATCCAGGGCCGTTGTGCGCTCACTATCAACGACTTGGTAGTCACTGACAACAAAATAGGTGAAAGCACATTTTTTTTTTCTTTTCGGGACAACTTTTCTAAAGTTTAAACCATGGGCAATCTATCTATAAAAACAAAGATGTGTGAATGGGTCTCAATATATTAGCAATTAGTTGTAAACTGCAATAAAAGAAAATTTTTTACATTCTGGTCAAAGGGAATAAACACTACAATAATCACACTCTCACTATGAACTCATGCCATTTAGAAACGCTATAAATTGTCAAATGTTTTGGTGTAATTCTCAACAAATGCATGCGGCGCGACGAAGCAGTCCAAATGATCGAAAGCTACTAAACATTGCAGTTATAATATACGAGCAAAAAATATATTACACTTGTTTGTACCATCTTATTTATACCTCTGTTCCGTGCTCGCTATATTTACAGTTTCTTGGTACGGGGGAAACACAACTGTTTCTCATTTTTATCTTGTCCATAAATCGCAGAAAAGATTTATTCGCCTTTTTAGGCAGTCAGAGGCATGACAGCCACACAGCCCTGCTCTTTGAAAAGAATTAGGTACAATTGTTCAAATAAAAATTTTCAATGATAATAAATTTGGTCTAACTACAAAAAAAAAAAGAAAAAAGAAAGCTTTGAACAATTCAGATTGTAATTTGCTTTCAGTTCCTTCCTTGCAATTAAAAAGGTGCTTCGTATGCCATTCTCCACCTCGGTGTCTACACAGGCCCGCGCTCGAGGACAAACTATGGTAATATCAGATGACCTTCCCTAAGGCTTTAAGTTGTCTTTTATAACTTGGGGACCAAGGGAACATGCTAGGCATGCTAGGCATAAAAATATCCGAAGGGAAAAGGAACAAATAGAGACATTCTCCTTTGAGTCGCACTGCCCGTTGAAATTGAAATCTGTGATCACCGCTTCTGACCAACGCAAGGTCCCTGCTGCAATCGTGCCTCCACTTCTGGCACTGATGGTAATTGCAGAGTTGAGCCGCTTTACCCAGCGGCTTCCTCGGCGACTTGTTTGTTATACTCCGTCTCACTAAAACTGTGCAGTACAGCCAAAGTTGCAGGGGAGAGAGTGTACCCCCACCTGTTCAAGAGGAGGGAAAAGAGGAACTGGGAAATTCTAGCCCTTCTCTGGCCGTTCCTCCTTTCCCTCTTTTTGAGCAGGTTGGCATACATTCTCTCCTCTGTAGCTTTGGCTGTACTGTGCGGTATTAGTGAGACAGAGTATAGGGATCCCCTGCTATGGTGTACCATAACCCCAACCAGCAATCCTGAGGCAGTGTACAAAAGGAAAAACGCAGCAGAATACTAGCATAGCTGAGTACGGACAAGCCTGTGGAGTGAGGAAAAAAAATAATTTAATTTTACAAATTAAAGGAGACGGCTAGACCTACTTCTTAAAATAAATGTGACGGCGGCCGACATCACCATTGGAAGGACTGCACACACTAAAATAGCTCAAATTTATGCCTTTCTGGATCGCCGAGAATTGTTTAAAGGCATATTTGACTAATTTTGCAATTACAACACATAGTTATTATTTTTATAAATAAAATTTGAAGATCCAAACACCAAAAAACCCAAGTCACGCTTTTTTTTTTTGCAAAATATTGTTGTGTTTTTGTTTTGCCCCTCCCGTTATTCTCATAATGCGCCGGAGTATAAACAGGGTGTACCTCCCAGAGCCGTGAGCCCGGACGTGCGGCGTAGATGGTGACCGGGTCCTGGGCCCTGGCACCCGGAACGAAGCAGCCACCAAACTCTCCATCCCTCAGTTTCTTGCCCACCTGGGTAAACTTCTCCCTGCATTCAGGAGACGGGCGATTCTCGCAAATAAATCGGTTCTCAATGAAAGGCGTTACCTTGTGCCTTTGTTCCTCTCGAAAATAGGCAGCTGCAAGTGCGTAGCATTTTGAGAACAATGTGATGAGAGACGTCGCAAACCTTCCGAGATTCGAATTCGAAAGGTTTTGGCATTCTTCGAACCTTGTTCGGGTTCGCGTTCATGATGTTTGCAATGCTGGTAAGCCCGGCAAGGTTCAAGGGGGGACACTACCTGGGAGTGTCAACTTTTAAACCGCTCACTCAATCGGCGTGATATTTGCAGGTGGTATTTGTAGCCATATAGAAGAACGGCATGCACAGTTTCAGCCCTCTGAACCAATTTTATGAGGTACTATATCCCCAGAACGAAGTAAAGCATAGCTTTGCATGGAATCTGCTCAATGAATCTATGAATCTATCATAGAGAAATGGTGTTGATAACAACATATTTTTCAGATGGATTGCATGTTGGAATACCTGCTGCTGGTTGCTATGAAAAGAACTTTCAGAAAATATGCATTTTCCAAGTGAAAAACAATTATGACTTTTTTTTTTTTTAACATTTAGTAAGTTTAGGAAATTACAATTTTTCATAATAAAGGAACATGAAAATGCAAAATCTAAGTTCATAGTAACCGGCTTCTTAAAATTTCGGTCTATAAGCCGCAAAATTAAGTCTCGCAATTGTTTCATACTGAAACGATAGATTTATTAAGCGAAATTAATGCAAAAGATTGGAATTGAGAAAAACGCGTTTAAAGAGCTAGAACCTCTACTTTTTCTTTAGCATCGAATGACTGAAAATAATTAAAAAAAAATAACTATGAAGTGTAAACAAATAAAACTTTCTGAGAATACAGTTAAACCCACTTATAACGATAATAAGAAAACCTGAAATTACAATCATTCTAATCAATTATCGTTGTATCTGGTCAACTAATCGTTTCCAGTCTAGAAACTCTAGAAACTGATCGTTATAAGCGGTACACCATTATATGTGGTATCGTTATAAGTGGGTTGCACTGTACTTTCTAGATGTTGGCAGATGTAAATATGGCATTTTTCAAAATCAACTTTTTATTAAGAATTTCTTTTTTTCTGTGCAGTATTGCTCCTTAAATTTGCAAAGTTTGAAGCTTTCGAGGTAATCTTAAAAGTTTTGTTTTGATGGTTTCTAATTTCCCTAATGATTGGGTTAGAAAAGTTTGATTTCGAATTCCTTTCAAGTTCATGTTTGTGAAGTTCTCGACTCTCGAGGTTAGAGTTCCGGTTTCTGATTCGTACACAACGGTATTTTAATGACTTTCGGAGCTGACAGAAGAGCCAGGTTTCGCAATGTGCGAGTATATACTGTGAACAGTCCACCTGCATTAATTCAACCTCGGTTAATTCGACTTATCGTTTAATTCGACCCTGTTCAAATGTCTTGGCAATGGCCCATACATTTCTATAGAGAAAAAAACTTGTTATTTCGATCTCGAAATATAAAATATTGGTTAATTCGACCTAGCGAGAACTGGCAATGGGCAAACTACAAGCACGATTGGCCGTGCGTGATGCACCAAAACAGGCCTTTTTTTTAATTACGCATTGGGCAAGTTACAAGCTCGATTGGCCGTGCCTGTCGGCAAAAACGCCTGCTTGCAAATTTTGAAGCGCGCGACGCATTGCAAAGAGAGAGAAAAAGAGAGCACATGTTGAGACACGAGACAAGGCCGGGTCTCAACACAAAACAACCTTTGCAACATCGCTGCAGAGCAGCGAGCGCCGATTGGCTGTTTGTGAGAGAGGGAGGGCCGCTGGCAACATCAATGCGTACAACAGTGACATTTGCCTCTTAGCCGCTGGTGCAGTGCGGTACATTCACCAGCCACCGGTCACCACCGCACCGCACTGAACACGTGAAGGACATACTGCGGCGACTCATCGTAAAAATGTTGGTCCACCACGTCCCATCAAGGTCAAATAAACGGAAGTTGACCGTAGTACAGTACTATTCACCCTAGTTCAAGGCAAAGTTGGCAAAGCCATCACCGCCACCAGCCTGGTAACTGACTTGCTTGCAACCTGAAGTCTGGAGTACAGTCTTCTATGATAGCGACCATACAATTACCGTAGAATACCGTGCATCCGCCCATTCCACGTTAAGCGCCCATTCCCAAATTTGTAAGATCTGAGAAAATACGCACAGTACATTTGTATGTAAAATTTATGACCGGACAAGCGCCCATCCCCCATTTTTTTTGTGATTACCTCCAAAGTTTGAGTGGGCGCTTGCCTGGTATTTTACGGTATGTACTTGTACTTGATTGCTTTGATTTTTTTTTTTTTTTATCGTACAGCTTTGTCAGCACAGTACAAGTGCGGTTGTTATAGTGATTTGGAGCAGTTGCTAAGGGTTAAAAACATGTCAAGTTTAAGGCATGTTTTGGAGACTCAATTCATTAGCATTCAATTCACCTTTAAAGTGCAAACCATAAACGTGGTTTACAGTTCATCAAACTTTTAAGCTTCGCAGGTTTGAAGATTCAACATATGACAAATCTGCAGCAGAATACTTAAGAAAATTGTTGAATTCTTCAATGTAATAAGTTTGCAAGTTAAAATATCTTCTAACCTTTCATAATTCTTAGCTTCATATTTTAACCCCGGGTAAGAAATTAAGCTGCGGCACCTCCAGTTACGAAGTCAAAACCTTGCAGTTTTCTTCTCAGTCTTGTGATCTCAGTATCATTGAGGCTTTAGTTTATATTAAGAAATTTCCCTAACTACACGCAAGTTAAAAGGAGTTCCTGCCATTCTTTCAGTTCACCCTAAAGTTCCCCAGTAATCCCCAAGGTGCACAAACATTTCCTCAATAATTTCCCTAAGACCACTCAAAACTCCCCAAGAATGCCCCACACTTTATATTCCCTTTCCATGAAATAGGCCATGGCACTAAAAAAACGCCAGAGTTACCATAAAATGCAGAGCAAGCATCAACTAAAAATCAGGGAAAAGCTTGAAAAACTGGATAATCATTATGTTACAGAACAAAAAAAGAAAGCCGTTTACAACTCCCTGTAACGCCGAATTAGAGCGCAGCTCTTGAAGAGGAGGAGGGAAAGGTACTGAGGGGAAGGTATACCCCTTCTCCCTCCTCCTCTGTATGGTCAAAGGTCATGCGAGGGGAGGGGGGTCACGTGACCCTCGCACGGTGCATTATGGGACATTTCCCATAATGCACCGCACGGTTACGGCGGCAGTGACGCCGCTCAAGTCGGGAACGGGCTCCCAAGAGCTGCGGTTTAAAATGCAGAAGGGGCATGTGATGGGTGGGCTTCACCACTTTGCACAGGCAAACCTGGAAAAAACGGCCGACATGGAAGTGCACCTTGATTAGTTAGGTGGGCCCAAAAGTCTGGGTTGGGTGTTTGCTGTGTCCTTTGCTTATTTTAAAAATGTTTCAAAGGGAACAGGTAGGCAGTTATTGTGACATGGGCGCATGCTCGGCATTTTACAGTGAACGGTGAAAGACTGTTCATTTTCAGAGTGAGCAGGGTTGAGAGCTCACCTGACGGTGTCTCCCAGGTAGCACCTTGTGAGGGTCGAGGCTAGCAGTCGATCTTGCGCAAAGTCCAGCTGGACCACCCTCGAGTCCAGCTTCATCAGAGTGCTGGGAGGAGACTGGAAGAGGCTCTTTGCCTACATGTGCCAAGCCAAACAATAGCCAATCCATTTGAGTAAATCAGAACCAGCACCAAAGAAGTGACAAGCGTGAAACTGCAACAAAACTGACTCGCAATGATCGTCCTTAGAGGGGCACTCAAGTGGGTTCTGAGATTGTCTATTTATGATGATAACTCAATTTACGGGCTCCCCAAAGTATCCCCAAAAACCTGAAATTACACTCATAGGTGGCCAATTTCTCTACTAAAAATCTAATCAAATATCGGGAGGCGCCCCTCTTTATGCGCCTTGGAGCAGAGACCAAGGGGCGCTGTCAAACGGCAAACAACAGAGCCATATATAGGGGAGAGTTTGGCCAGTTGGTGTGGCCTCGTTCACAGCTGGACTGTGTCAATGACACGCCACGCAAATGCCATGGCCACGCCCATTTCACCATCTTTAGCCCAACCGACGCCGAGGACTTATGCCCGTATGCAGGGATGGGCAAAATACATGCAAATATGTATTGAAATACAAATACAAAATACTTCGTCAAAAATGTATTTAATTAAAAATCTAATTACATTTCCTAAAAAGCATTTAAGTAAAAGATACAAATACAACCAGATGTATTTGGTCTCCTCCAAATACTTTTCCAAATACATTCCTCAAAATTAGCGTCAGCGACTTCAGGGCACCTGCAACGGGTTTCTGGGTATCACATTTTAATTTTGCATCGCACACTCGGGAGTTAGTGTGCAAGGCTCTAGTAAAGTAATAGAATTATAATCACAAAAAAATGTAATCAGCTTGGACGTAATAGTTGAAAAAAGTACAGAGCTTCAAGCAGCTTTTTTTGTCGATCCCATTTTGGTATAGACCAACAAAGACCCGATATGACCAAGACGCGCAGCACTAGCTAGAGATTATTTTATTGTTGCAACTCACACCAGTTACGAAAATCTGGACAACCCGCGCATTTAGAATGTTCCAGGCAAAAACATGGAGGGAAATCAGGCTGGAAAGCATCACAAGTTGTCACAGGCACTTATTTAGCCAGTCTGCCTGTGAACGTCGATTTCGTCACTATTCTTGCCCTGGACTAGCGTCGTAATCACAAAGTCACTAAACGCTTGTGCTTGATTGAGAGACACTGCATTCGGTGCAGAACGTAGTTTTCTTCCTCCTCTGGACAGTGACAATAAATTTGAGGGATGTATTTTCGCCCACAAAATTGAATTTAATTACAATTGTATCTGAAATACCCACTTTTTAGTATTTAAATACACACGTCAAATGCATTACCCAATTTGTAATTAAATACAAATGCAAAATACACAAAGTATTTGAAATACGTATTTCAAATACTTGTATTTGAAATACTGTCCATCCCTGCCCGTATGCTTGGCTCTCAGTTTCCTCCAACGTATGATTGTTTTATTTTGTTTTAAGTCATCCGCTAACAGTATTTGGTCTGTGTCGTGTTTATTCAGGAGCCATATTATTAAGTTAGCACCCGGTTACCTTGTCTGTTCTCCCACCGTACACGCCGTGTCACCAGCCCATTCATACGCTTCGCAAAGATTCGGCGCGTCGCGCAAATTACGCTCGCGTAAGTATTTTGCAATTTTTAGTTCTAGTTGACTCCTCTTGTTATTTTAGCAGTTGGCAATGATAACAACTTTTAATTCGCAGTTGAGGGGTTTACCACAGACTGTTCCGATAAGCGAGCGAGTACGAGAATGCCACCATTGGCCGTATTTTCAAAGAAAATTATCTGCTAGATTGTAAAGCAAGCTTAAGCCCTTCGTCCGAGAGTTTCCCAGAGTTTCGTTTCTTTCTATAATTACATTTCCTCTCATGCGTCAGCATGTCAAACGAGATGGCTTGATTGAAGCGATCCCTATTCCTGATTATAGGATGGCAAGCCGTGCATGCTCACTGAGTGCCTCCACCGAACTCTCTCACCAAGAAAACATCGATCTTGCTCTCCAAACATGTAGAAAGCCGGAAGGTTATAAATAAATAAATAAAATAAATGAAGGTTGTACGAGTTCGCTGGCATTAAAAATGGCGCTGGCACTAACATTTGTCACAACGTTAGAGACGTGTATTTTATAACAGAAGGTTACGAAATAAACATGGAGCGACTCAGCGCCAGGTGGCTCTTTGCCAATGGTAAGCTTGCTCGTTTTAACAGATTTAACTCAATTGATTGGCTGTTCCTAACGAAGCTGACATCTCAACATCTATCGTCATGTTATTACATGAAAATTAATGAAAGACAGAAGGACAACAAAATTAGCTTTTCCATACGAAAAAATAACATTTATTAGAAGGCATCAAATAATAAATTCATTAATTTTATGGTTTGGAGAAGAAAGCAGGGGAAAGAGGAGGACGTCTGTGTCTTATGCTGGAATTATTCACATTACACATTACATGCAAGCTTTCTGTAGCAACTATACTCCCACCTCAAAGAACATAGCAAAAATATTGGTTACTCACGCAGCATTACTAATTTCCCCCTTTATCTAAATATAAAAGATATATGCCAGTTCATTTTAGATTCGACGGATGTTATCTCATCAACATGTACACACTTCAAATGCCAAAAACATAGCTTCTTACTCCGACGACCAAACCTAGTAAGAACTACTTCACGTGGCGTATGAACAATACACAACCTTCTTTTTCTTTGAGGTTGGAAACGCATATAGTTTGCTAGTTTTCGTCGCAGTAGCGACGAAAACTGCATTTTATAGAAAGTTTTAAGATAAAATAAGCATTTTCACCTCACAAAGACGGGAGCCTTCCGTAGGCATCCACAATTGCTGTGCTTGATTTTATTTAACCATATTTTGCTAATTTTTGTTCTTTATATTTCAAAATTATGAATGAAAAAATGAAAACCATGACTGCCATCATTGGAACACCCAATCATAGAACAACCAACCATTTTCTCAAAACAAAACCTAAAAATAAGGGTCTGTGCACAGGATACCATGCAGCCCCTGCAGGCGCGTGCGTTGGGCTGGGGTCGGTAATGGTAAACAGGCCCGCGGCGCTCCCTTGGCATTTTCCATTGCTACGCGGTTGCTAGGCCCGACATCAGTTCTATGGGAGGAGTCTGGGACGAGCAACGGTACGGCGAGAGGTCACCGAGGACAATAGGTATCCAGTACTTCGCCTATATATGGCTCTGGCAAACAATAAATGCTGTGTTACGTGCATAAAAAGAACAATAATAGTAACGTTCGAGATCTCCACGCTTTTACTATTTTCACTGGTCAAATTTTATGGAGGTGGTGGGGACCCAAGGGTGACCCCCCTCTCTCCCCCCCCCCCCCTCCCTCCCCCAAGAGAAAATAGTGCCCTTGTATTTCTTTTGCTGTGAGTTTACTGGACGTCTTGCCACCTAGAACTGGTCGTTTTTATTGACTGAAGTCCAATAAACAGCATGTCAACAAAAACAAGCTTCTAGGAAAAGCACTTGAGTGTCTCTTTTAATTCCACTGTTACTACAAAGATGTAACACAATTAGTTGAGTTTTGCGCAAGGTTCATTACGTACGAATACTAAAAGGTGCAGACGAGGCGCTCGATACGGCGAACATCTGCCGACACGAATGATTGTGGTGAAGAACAAACATTGCTGTGCCGATTTATTACGGCTCAATTAACCAAATATTCCGCTATCCGAGATAGGCAGGGTGGAGAATCATTTGAAAAGTGTGGCATAGCTTCGGTGCATTTGATCCTACTTGCGAGACAAACAGAAACACATCAAGGGGCTCTTCTGGAAGAGCGAGAGGCACCACCTTTGAGGAGGAGATGTTGAGCACCGAGACCTTGCCCGCCCCGTCGGCCGCAAACAGGCGGCTCCCGGCACCGTTCCAGCGCAGGCACGTGACGCAGCTCCCTTTGTGCTCGTACGACAGCTGCAGCCTCTGCGGCTGGCCGCAGCCCGCATTGTGCTCCAGCACCAGCACGTGGCCGCGGCTGCTCCCCCAGAAAACACGCCGGATGATTATACGTACTGTCGACGGACGTCTTGTGAAGACTAGGGCTGTGTGTATAGAGGTGCCTCTGCATAGATCTCACGGTGCTAAAGCAATTCGTGACACGCTGGCTCTCACTGCGGTGCTTAAGCTAGGGACAAGGCTACGCTATTCGATCTGAAGCGGCATTCGCACACCCCTAGTGAAAATGTACTGGCTGTTTGGTCTATCCAGGCGGTCAGAAAATACCTCTAGTTAAAGCTGCAGTCCAAGATATTTTCCCATCAAAAGACGAGAGAGAATAAGCGGAACTCGTTTAATGGGGGACGCTACCCAAGAGGGTTGACTTTTGAACCTTTGGCTCAATATGACTGAAATTTACAGCATATACTGGACGTTGCGAGGAAGAATGCAGTGCAAAGTTTCATCTGTGTACATGAATTATAAATGTAATTATAGTCGTTTTTATGAGGAACACACTGACTTTGTTTAGGAAAACTATTGTTAGAAAACTAATGTAATGCGGAGGGCAAGTTCGTCTGCTTCTTGCGCAGGGGGTAGCGGTGACGTCAGAACGCCGAGCCCTGATTGGCTGATTGCGACCCCCTATCTGAGTGTCGTCTGCTCCTCTGCAACGTTGTCTGCTCGCAACGTCGTCTGCGTCAGTCTCACCTTTCCTGCGACTTTCGGAAGTGCAGAGGCCAGATTCACGAAACGATCTTACGCCAAAAATGTGCGTAAGACAGAACTTAAGATCAAATTCGTATTCACGAAACAAAATTTTCGCAAGTTTTGCGCAGGTTATGACAAAATCCTACGACAGCTCCGAAGCTGTCTTACGCACTTACGATCAACTCAGCATGGCCGACAGCATCGCGGTCGCGACGACCCACGGATGTTTATTTTTCTACGAGCGCTTTTCACGCGTCCCGACTTCAAGCAGCGAGAAAAAAGTAAAAAGTACTTGAAATAGACCACGACGAACAAGAACGCTGGATCCACAAACACCCGGGAAAAGCTCCAACAGCCACGATACCACCGAACTCGACCAAGCGAGCTGCGCAGTTAGGCCTAGCAGGCACTCCGCGACTCGGCGACCGTCTGCCCACGACCGGCTGGCGTGCTGAATGAAATATGCCCGCGCGACCCATGTGAACCCTTCCCGTATTATACTTTGATCGCTGACCTCAATTTTAGATTAAGGGGTCAATTTCTTCCTCTTGTTATCTCCTTGTTTCCCGAGGCAACGGTGACTCTCGCCGGTGAAAAAGCGGTGAATCTCCAACAGACGCAGGAAAGGTAAAGCAGCCATCGCTTTGACTAGCAGATCTAAAGCAGACAACGTTAACTGCGCCAACCCGCCGGCGCCGTTAAAGAATGAGGGGTCTCGCCGCACACGAAAGGAGGGAAAAAGTATTTGGGAGGGAACTTGCGGACACTAACCACCCTCACTCTCGGTTCTTCGCAAACAAACCTCGGCGCCTCGGGACACCTCGCCAGTGAGTCCCTTGACTTCCCTCCTTGATGCGCGTCTGCTAGTTGTTAGACAAAAACAACGTACCGCTCGAGTTATTTCGTCTGCCCTCTCTGAAAGGCGAAGTCGAGCTCGCTCGTAAAGTCCTGCACTTCCGAAAGTCGCAGGAAAGGTAAGACAGTCGCAGACGATGTTGCCAGCAGACGACGTTGCAAAGGAGGAGACGACGCTGAGATAGGGGGTCGCGATCAGCCAATCAGGGCTCGGCGTTTTGACGTCACCGCTACTTCCTTTCTCATGCGCAGAAGACAAAAATGAGCCCACTTGCGAGGCGTATATCCAACGCTTTTCTTCTCCAGATCTGTAGCAGAATGCCTGGAGAGTGCAACTGTGAAAACAAAATTTCCAAAAAGTAATTTATTTTGCACTAACATTGTGGTGAAAAGTCAGATAAATTTTCTCTTTCATGTTGTCGACAAAATCTTAACATATTTTATAAAAAGACATCCAGAAAGTAAAAAAAACAATTCCACAGTTGCATTGCCCATAAAATTTCAGTTAGGAAAAACAAAGAGTGAGCCTTTTCTTCTGTAACAATAACAAACAATAGTTTTCCTAAAGTGAAATTTATGCCAAAAAGTGGAAGGGAGAAAAATGCGTTCAAAGTGCTTCAACCTCTACCTTTTCTTTAGCATTGGTGGACCGAAAATACTTTATAAAAAATTAACTATGCTGTGTAATCTAACGAAACCTTATGGGAATACTCTGTAGATGTTGGTGGATCTAAATGTGGCATTTTTCAAAATCAACTTTTTTTCGCAGAAATTGTTTTTTGTGGGTAGTGTCCCCCCTTAAAGGGGTACTCCGCCGATTTTTGAGCTACCTCAACTAACTATATTTTCTGACTCCCAGGCCTTTACCCGTTCTGGAATGCTATTTAATATCGTGAAATTCATAATAGTTATTGCGAAATCGGCAAATGAAAATGATGCAAAAACAGACATTCAAATATACCCGCCCTTTTCAGGGCCGTGACGTCAGTGGAAGTTCAGCTTGCCAGTCGGGCGAGCAGTCTAAAAAATAGAATATGCCAATTATTTGTTCCGTGCTGGAGCGCGGGGACTGGAGCGAGCTTCCAAGGCATTCATTTGACACCATGAAACTGCTTCAAATCAGTTGGGAACAAATTCTACAGTCCAAAGAGTGAACCCCTGCACTTCCAATGACGTCACTTTTTCATTGTTGCCAGTAGAGACTTTCAGTTTGAAAAACACGGTGAGGACCAAAATTGTAAATTCAATAACTTTGTGAAAAAACATTATTTTGACCTAATATTTGGGATACTATTTTGGCGATGTTGTTTGGCGAGTTTAGCAAAATTTCAAGCAAATCGGGGACCATGAAGAAATCGGCGGAGTACCCCTTTAATGGCCGTGGCGGACACCATACCTTTTTATTTTCACTGCCTCCCGCTTGCACCAAAATCAAGATATGGTGTTCTAAGATTTCTTAAAATATCTAACCTCTGCAAAGCCACATTTTAAAGAGGGCCCCCTTCTGGACAGTCTTAGAATGGAAACTGACCTCATCCCAAGCCAACTGGTTTTACCAAAGTCCAATGTCGCCTGCGATTCTCACGCTTTCTGGTGACAGATCCCTTTGGCGAGTGTTTCTACCGATCTATGCCTTGTTGAAGGCTCCACTGGACAGGATTTTGAATCTGTCCAGACACGACAGAACCCGTTAAGAAAAATTGACTGTACGTTTGGTCATTGTGTCAATAGTGTCTAAATGCGGTAGCTTTATAGGGCCATCATTGGCGAAAAGTGTTTTGAAACTAAATAAATATTTTTTTTTTAAATACCTTTACGTTACTGTGGTGATTATGCAATTCGACCGCACGCAAACACACTGTAGCAACCGTTGGTGGCACTGCAGTGGCCGTCATGGTTCTTGTCGCTGTTTTTGTTGCTCTTGAGAGCGTTGCCGCTGTTTTCTGGTTTGGACGTCTACAGAGCAACGGTTTATGTTCCAAGAAATATGCTACAAAGTCCGTGCAACATAGTCCAAGAGTGCCTCGCAAGAAGACGCAATCGAAGGTGGTCGTTCAAGCTCCTGGTCGTCAGGGCCCTGATCTTGAGGCGGGCGCCCGCGTTTTGGTGGCACTGTGAAGGCCAGGGGCTAAATGGCACGAGCAGAGAGATGCTCGGTTTCGTATAGAAACAGATCATGACACAACATTGTCATTTGTGATGCTGCATGCGCTTCCCTTCAGCACCAGCCGACTACAAAGATTTTGGGCTGAATTTTCTGGGTCACCAAGAGGGGGGCAGCACTCTTTCCTGCCCTTTCCACTTCTCCTCGTTCAACACGCTCTTTCTACACTATCCATTTCTGCTGCCCTCTTTCATGCCATTTTTTGAAGATTGTTTAGCAGTTATGAACTAACCGACTTACACATTTCATGCTTATTTATGCGGCTCCTGAGGTTGGCTAGCACTATACTCTGTTTCATACTTAGCGTGCAATGCTGCCAAAGCTATTGGCGCGAGCGTGTGGCTTCATCTATTGTTTTGTTTGCGCGAGAATGCGTGCAAATGATCAACGAGATCAAGCCCCATGCAGCGCCAGTAGCTTTGACAGCGTTGAACGCTAAGTATGAAACAGAGTATATAAAGCTACCGCTTTAGAACCACTGCCTGCTAGGAGACGGAAACCACAACTTAATATGGTCACAAAGTAGTGGTGCGGGCCAGCTGCTTCCTTGTATACCAGAAAAAGCACCAAAACTAACACAGAGGCAACGAGAGACTGAAACAGAAAAAGGCGCCCCGTCCGCCCCGTCCTGTTTGTGCCTTGTCCCGTCTTGGTTTCTCTCAGCCCTTATTTGTTTTGGTCCTCTTTCTAGTACCTACATGCAAATGGTCATCTGTAACACTTTTACCACCTGGTGAAAGAAGAAAAGAATGTCTTGTGGTTTTTCTGACAAATATATCCTTGTAATCTTTATTAAAAAGCTACCCAAAGTGAATTCATTTTCAGAATACTCAAGTTTTAGTCGTTCCGGCATTCCATTTATTACCTCTAAATAAATTTAAAAGAGCCATTGAGAAAAGGGCACATAAAGGCTACACCAGAACCGACATTCAAATTTTCCTGCACATGCTGCATAACTTACACAAGTTGAGCAGGCATTTTAAAAACGCAATATTTTATGCGCTTTTTTTGTCGGTTTGTTGGCATGAGCTTAACCAATATTTGTTTCACATCATCATGCTTCTTGTAACCTGTCAGAAACAAGCTGTACTGCACCCATATTACAACACTCGATGTCAGCTTTTCAATGTTGCCATTAAAGCCTTTCGGCCTCTAGGACCACATCTAAAACTTTAATTAAACTTTACACACACAAAAAAAAAAAAAAAAAGCTTATTGCGACTTGTTTTTTTTTGGCTACTGGTTCAAATGTGTACGCTAATATGTTGAACCAATTTTGAGACAACTGAATGACAACAAAAATTTTGCTTTAAAGGATTTTACCGAAGTGCAGTGCATGCCATTTCGCATTTTGACAGCCAAGTGCTTAAATTAAAAGCACCGTGCCACTAGTCAGTATTCAGAACCTACTGAGAATCGCCATAATAAAATTTGAACCCTTCTTTCATAGGTAAATTTGAGTATGGCAAACATCTAAGTTTCTTGGTTTTAAATGTGTGTAGCTCAGCAAGGTACAATGGCAACAATCAACGTATGGTGTACAGAAGCATGTTATAATAACAAAGTAAACAAAAAAAGATGGCTGCACTATGGGGACAGACAGAGCCATACCTGGTAGCAAGTGCAAGGATGTTTTCGTCCGGGCAGAGAGCAACCTGTGCAACTGAGCCGCCCTCCTTGAAAGGAAGAGAGACATTCAAAACAATCAAACGTGGAATGCTAACCTAAATTAGCTCAAAGCAATGGCTACATTGGCAATGTGCTCTAAATCAAGGCAACCTAGTGCAATAAGAAAATGCAGAGCTTAATATGTAAGAGATAAAGAAGAATACTTCGAGGATTTTGCAGGTACGATAATGTGCCTCTGGAAAAATTGTGGGAAACACAATACTGTTCTGTACAGTAGACAGAACTGCAAAAGTCCACAAGGCGGTTCAAAATCTATGGTAATTTAAAGTGTCGTTTCTTTCAAAGGCTTCTTTAGTTTTGTCAGGTTTGTGGGCACTCAATGATGGATGAAAAAAAACCTTCTTAGGGTGTGGTGAATGGTGTGGCGAATGGGCAAACTGCATCCCCCCAAGAAAAACATACCAACCTTGTTAGCAACTGTTCCGACGTAGGAAGAAGTGTCTCGTTGAAACATGAAGACATCCCCACTCGTGGCTCCCAGAGCAAGGTAGTGCTTTGAAACGTCAAAGCAGACATACTAAAGAGAAAAAAGGAATAAACAAAAGGAAGACATTACTCCCAATGCTGCAAAACAGAAAAACAACCAAAGAGGTAAGCTTTAATCAAACCAACGTTCAACCAAAAGTGCCACAAAATGATTCTTTATCCTTGACACAAATAATACTCAGAATTAATACTCAATGCATAGCAGCCACAGAAATCATACTTATTTTTCATACCCCACTCCAGTTTTTGTGTTATTGCTGAAAAAAGATTGGGACATGTATCCTCCCTCAACTTTGTCAGGCATTGGAGGATAAAATGTCTTCAGGAAACCACACTCTATCAGAGGCCATCCATACTTTGCTTCACGTCCACCTATGCGATGCTTATGTGATAAGGGCAAATAAAACAGAAAATAAAATAAAAATAAAAGAGGTTCAGAGGATAACACGCAGCTGTCTCTTAGCCTCACATTTCATTTCAAAGTAAACACATACTACCATGCCTGTTTTTCTATGCATCACATCCACACAAGTTCCTTTTAAGACAGCAGACATAATGGGGGATTTTGGGGGTCTGCATCCAGAGCACCAAGGAAGGCAAACTTTTATACCATGAAACAAGCGATTCCGAGTTTCCAAAGGCGACTATATAAAACATTGTATTGGGAAGTAGAACCTTTACCTGTCAAAGTTACAAAACACAATATTTAAAAGCAATAGCGTGAATATGACCTCTGAAACGTTGTATACTTGATTTACCTCGATCCCATGGATCGAGGTAAATCGCAGAATGTGTTGGTTTTGTTCGCTTTCCCCAATCTTCTGCAGCTCTTTAAAATACTTTTCGTGACATCAAATTATGTGATACGGTCATATCGTATGGTCCCGCAAAGTAAAAATCGCTTCACAAGTCTTTCCCTTGGCGGTGTAAGTCAGGCTCAGAATCTTGGGGTCCTGAATTCAATTCTGGTTGGGGGACGTCTGAAATTTCATTCGTTATCTTTAGTTAGGTGTTCTTTTGTGGAGATTTTCCCCCACAATCCACGTCGCAACATTTCACGACGGTCTTCCGTAGCAGCTTCCTGTGGCGTTCTGTCACACTTTCCTTAAGGATATCAATCCTACACACAGTTTGTATTAAAAGACACAAATCTCTTAAAACTGTGTTATGGTCTATAAGTGACTAGCTCCACGTAAGAGTAACACATAACATGGTGCCCGGAAAGCGTCTCCGACTGCTGGGTTTACAGAGCCCCAAAAAGTGGTTCTTCGATTTCCGATCAACGACGTCGCAAGAGCGTCGCATTATCGCTGGCCACGATCCTGGTAACGCCACAGCGGCATACCTGCCAACCTGTGGACTTCCAAATTCGTAAAAGCTCCGCAGCCGCGGCGGCGAGGGGGGGGGGTGGTGGTGACGCAAAGCGATGTGCAGCTTAAAGCCTGGCCAGCGTGCGAAACGCTTGCATCACATGTGCTTGTGCTACAGAATCCAAACTTCTCTCGCTTTTTGGGCGGCACGAAGCACGGAAATTTCGACGTGTAGGACTTAAGGAACACCTGAGAGAGATTTTGGGGGTTTATGGCGCAATAGCTACGAGGCCATCTGCGCCAAACTAATTGAAGGTTTGTACTATAAAACAGGTTTTACAAAACGGCTAACCAAAAAGCTATAATCGGTATAAAAGGCCAATACTACCAAGAAATTCTATTACTCGTTCAAAAGAGACCAGAGGATTCTCTCCCAGAAAGAGAGCAGGATGAAATGGGATATGATGTTGAAAAAATTCAGGGAAATGAATGCGGCGCTTGGGCTCAAGACCAGGGCACAACCACAAGATATGCAAAACAGTGAGCCTATCACCACACTGATCGCAGACTGGTGGATCTTCTCCCGAAAGCAGATGCCTATGGGTTACAAAAGAGTGTCCGATTCTCAGACGGCACAACAACGTTTCATGGAGTCGGCTCTTGCATGAAGAGCTTTCCCAAACTCCCAAAGCCGGTTTGGTAACATGAAGCTTGTTACCACACTCCATGTCCCATTCCAATTGCCAAGAATGAAGAATTGAGGACTTTACCAAGGGCTTAATATCTTGATAGGGTAAACAGGACAGAGATTGTGGAAGGTTACCGGCAGACCCTGCAAGCTTGTCGGCTTCTTCATTGCCATGTATGCCAATGTGACTGGGTACCCAACAAAATTTTATATTTTGACCTCCATGCAAAGCAGTGTTAAGTTTATATTGAATCTGTTGTACAAGCATATTTTTAGTGTCTTTAAGAGAGCAAACTGCAAGAATCACACTTTGAGAGTCAACAAACAGGACCGCCCTCAGTATTTTCCTATTGATAATGCATTCGATCGCCATTGATACCGCATAGAGTTCCGCCGTAAAAATGCTGGCAACACAATCGAGTCGTTGAACCTTGGAAAAGCGTTCTGAATACACAGCGCAACCGACAAAAGAAGAAGTCTTGGCACCATCTGTATAAACATGAAGATAACCATCATACTTAGTTTGCAGTTCACCAAACTCTTGCATAATTACAGCTTGGGAAATGCCGTGCTTGTTGAACTTCGCAAGAGACCAGTCAGATTCAACTCGCTGTGCTTTCCAAGGTGGAATACCGTTGACTTTCCTAATGAGGCCGACCTGGCCCAGAGGAAGGTGCAGAGAAGTGCGAAGATGTTCAATACGGAAGCTTAACGGAGTCACAATGCTTGGTTTATTTTCAAAAAGGCGAAAGAACCTTGACCTTGTAAGTGAAGAGTATGTCGGATGCTGGGGGTCGGCCAGAATCTTATAAGCATATGTTAGACTAAGATATGTACGTCGTTTGTTCAGGGACAGCTCATTGGATTCTGCATACAAACTGAGGACGGGCGATGTTCGAAAGGCTCCTGTTGCCAGTCGCAAGCCGAGATGGTGAACTGGGTCCAACATTTTAAGGGCAGAAGGCCGAGCCGATCCATACACTATTGCACCGTAGTCAAGACCGGATCGTACAAGGGCGTTGTATAACTGCAGGATACATTTTCTATCAGACCCCCAAGACTTGTGAGATAAAACTTTCAAAAGGTTTGTGGACTGAAGGCATTTTTGCTTCAGAGCTTTAAGGTGGGAAATAAAGTTAAGCTTTTTATCAAATATTACACCAAGAAACCGGTGCTCCTTTTTAACTGGAATAGGTGTTCCATTTAATTTCAGGGAGGGATCCAAAGACAGCCCGCGTCGCAAAGAAAAAGGAACACAGACCGTTTTTGAAGCAGAGAACTTGAACCCATTTTCGTCGGCCCACTTGGACAATTTGTTTATGGCTAACTGCAACTGGCGCTCACAACTAGAAAGGTTACAGGACGATGATGAAATCTGTATATCATCAGCATAAAGAGAATACGAAATAGATGGTGGCAGCAGTCGTGCGAGTGAATTCATTGTCAGCAAAAACAAAGTCACACTTAAAACACCCCCTTGAGGGACTCCATTTTCTTGAACAAAGGAGTCAGATAGGGCTGAGCCGAGACGAACTTGGAAAGTCCTGTCTGTCAGATATTCCTTTATGCTTCGTAGCATACGGCCCCGGATATTACAGGCATACAGGTTTCGGAGAATCCCATACCTCCATGCTGTGTCATACGCCCTTTCTAAGTCGAAAAAAACCGCAACACAGTGCTGCCTGTTTACAAATGCCTCACGTATCACAGTCTCCAGGCGAACTAAGTGGTCAAGGGTAGATCGACCTTGGCGAAATCCACATTGATTGTTATCAAAGACCCTCTGGCTTTCTAACATGTAGACCAGTCGCCTGTTTATAAGCCTTTCATATGTTTTCCCAAGGCAGCTTGTGAGTGCAATTGGGCGATAGCTTGATGGTTGTGAGGGATCTTTGTTAGGCTTTAGGAGGGGGATGATATGTGCGTGTTTCCAAGCCTGAGGGAAACATGCCTTTTCCCACAAAAGATTAAAAAACAGGAGAAGGTTTTCAAGGGATTCTGTAGAAAGGCGGCGCAGCATTTCATAATGGATTCCATCGGGACCAGGGGCAGAGAGCTTTCTCACATTAAGAGCCATCTCAAGCTCGCATCGCGTAAATGGTTGGTTATACGATGCCGAGTTTCCTCCTGACATGACAAGCTTTTGTCGTTCCGCACGAACTTTTAACTGTCCGAAGGAAACACTGTAGTTGGCCGAACTGGATGAATTATAAAAATGTTCCCCGAGTATGTTACCAATATCTTTTAGAGACGAAGAAGGAGCATTAAACGTTGGAATGGCAAAGCACCTGTAATCCCCATTTACTTTCCTGTATCTGTCCCAGGCCTCCTTGGCTGGGACAAAGCTGGTTAAAGAAGAGAGATACTTCATCCACGACTTCCGCTTTGCCTGCTTCCTAGTCCAACGAGCCTTGGCTTTTCGTCGCTTGAACTCAACAAGGTTGCTTGAAGTGGGGTACCTGCGAAATCTGCCCCACGCCCTATTTTGGTCCGCCCGGGTTGTGGCACACTCCTTATTCCACCAAGGTTTACATTTTTTGGGTATATTACCAGATGTTTGGGGAATGGACTGCTGAGCAGCCTTTAGTATCTGCTCAGTAACATAAAGTGTAGCGTTCTCAGGGGACATAGACGAAAGAAGCGAAGGATCCAAAGTGGAGTGAAGATTAAAAAGTGCCCAGTCTGCCTTGTCTAACTTCCACCTAGGAACCCGCTTTAAAAGATTAGGCAATGGAACGGTACTTTCTAAAACAACTGGATAATGATCACTTCCAAAAGGGTTATGGAGAACCTTCCATGAAAAGCAAGGAAGTAATGAAGGTGAAGCGATAGAAAGATCAATAGATGTGAATGTGTTGTGTGCCGCACTAAAAAAAGTTGGCTCTCTCCCGTTAAGAAGGCACAGCCCAGAAGACAATAAAAGACGTTCAATTACACCACCACGGGAGTCCTGACGGGTACTACCCCACATGGGATGATGAGCGTTAAAATCACCTAAAATTAAAAACGGTTGAGGAAGCTGTCCAACAAGTCCCTGCAGCTCTTGAAGATTTAAAGGAACATTTGGCGGTAAGTATAAAGAAACAAGCGTTACAAGGCGGTCCACGAGGAGACGCACTGCAACTGCCTCCAGATGTGTGCGGAGTGGGACTTGAGAGCAAGCGACTCCACTCTGCACAACTACTGCAACGCCACCTGAAGGAGTGGAAGCGGGACGGTCTTTCCTGAAAACCTGATGGCGCCTTAAAATGTTAAAAGAATTAGAGTGAAGATGGGTTTCTTGCAAGGCAAGAGCGATGGGTCGAAGCTCATCCATGAAATGATTGACATCATCAATATTTCTTAAAATACCGCGACAGTTCCATTGCATAAAATGTAACTTCGTCATCTATTAAAAAAGTGTGTAAATATGTAAATATAAGAAGATAAAACCTGGTAAAATAAATAAAGCTATGGAGAGCCAACTTGAGCTAGGTGGAATATGTGACCACAATACGGCAGCTATTGGGGTCATCACTTGGGCGCTACTACAGGTTGTTTCTTTTTAGATTTACGAGAAGCTGTCTCCCATTCCATACCATCCTGGTCGGACCCAGGAGTAGACTGACTGTCAGCATCAGTTGGTATCTCCATGTCCTGCGAAGTGTCCGATGGATGGAGTATGACGGAGCTGGTCCGGCCTGGTACGCGCGGGGGAAAACCCCGGCCACGACCGGATGGAGGAGTGGCGGACGAACTGGGCGAGGGGTCACCCAAGTTCGTCTTGACACCTCCTTTCACAGGAGCTGCATGGGTACCATGCTGCTCCTTCAGTAGGGGGACCCTCTCCACCGAGCAGGAGCGAGAAGCTCGCTCCTCCCTAGGAGGGGACCTAGGAGAGGGGGAAGGCGCGGCTGCTGCCGGCCTGTCCTTGGATGGAGGGGCAGCACGCGTGCCACCACCAGGGGCTGGAGGAAGCTGCTGCTGCCCCTGTCGAGGAGCTGGGGCCCTGAGGTCGGCCGCCAAGGTCTCGGGAGAGACCTGCGTGGCCCTCGACTCCGAGCGTGGTGCAGGGCCCCTGCGCACCACGTCGGCAAAACTCCCCTTTGACACAAAGGAGAAACGTTTTTTCGCTTCCGAATACGAAATGTTCTCCTTCACTTTAATGGCAAGGGTGTCTTTCTCTTGTTTCCACGAGGGACAGGTACGATAGTAAGCGGGGTGTGGTCCACCGCAATTAACACAGTGGGCCACAGCCTCCTCACAAATGTCAGAAACATGGCCCTGACTGCCACACTTTGCACATGTCTCCTTCCCTCGGCAGCTGCGTGCTCCGTGACCAAAACGTTGGCAACGGAAGCACCGCTGGGGGTTGGGGACGTAAGGGCGAATGCGGCAGTTCAGGTATCCTGCCTTGACGGTCTCTGGGAGTGTGTGCTTTTCAAAGGTCAGGATAACATGTTTCGAAGGAACCTGTTCACCATTTTTCCGAAACATTATGCGTTTAACAGCGACAACGCCGGAACTTTTAAGTCCCTCGAGAAGTTCTTCTTCGCTTGTGTCCAGAAAGTCGTCTTCAGAGAGGACTCCACGAATGGTGTTAAGTGTGCGGTGAGGACTCACCGACACCTTCACATCAACAATGGTGGTGAGGTTGAGGAGTGCTTCGCTTTGCTTTTTTGTGTTTACCTCCACAAGGAGGTCTCCAGAATACAGTTTTTTTGCCTTGTAGGAAAACCCTACAAGGTGCTCTAGAACTTTGGCTACAATGAAGGGTGACATCTTTGCAACTGTCTTGTGTTCATCAAGAGAGTGAACAACAAAAAACTTTGTGAAGGATTCTACCTCGGGATCTTTGTCAATGGTTTTGTGTTCAAGGCAACGCCTTTTAAGGGCGTGCCCTGAACGGGGTTTAGAGGGGTGGGGCGCCATAGAAGGGCAAAGAATGTTCGGAATCCGCGGTGCACCGCCCACCACCGAGCCCAACAAGGGGTTAGGTAACGCACCATAACAAGATGAGCTTGGCTGGAGACGTTACACTAACAGTGCTGCCGGGAAACTATACCCAAGTGTGGGTCAAGACAGAGGTCTATTGCCACCCAAGGTTAGCCCTTGCCGCCAAAGAGGGGTGAAAAAGGAGTAAGATAAATGAGAGAGAAGTAAAAGAAACAGGAAAGGTAAAGGTGAAAGATTGGAGGGGATAGTAGAAGAAAGGCGACTAGACTGAATCATCCTGGCCGGGCCTTACCAGGACTCCCGTCTACGAGAAGCGGGGGCCGAAGTGGTGTATTGCCTCACCCGGGGGGCCCCGAAGGGTCCAAACCTACCCCGGGCTTGGCTCAACCACCAGGATGCCCTTTTCCCCGGACACGGGAAAGCCACGCACAGCCAGACGTGGGCGGGCGAACCCGCATGGCTCGGGGTCCGTGGAGACGCCACTCTCCAAACACCTGCTTTCACAGGTGCCCCCTGCGGGGAAGGAACACCTGAAAGTACCTCGTTTGAGGTTTGGAGTTCGGCATTGCGCCGCGAAGCCACAGTGACCAGGAGAATGCTACAGTTACACGTGCAACAAACACAGACGCCATACTTCTCGCCTCGAAACTGGCCGAAGCAACGAGGCCCAACAACGTCTGAACACGCCGAACCAACGTGCACCTGTGCACCGCCGAACACACGAACAAAGGCTTTGAGCTTTGGATTGGCTTTCGATCCGTGGCCACCGGATAGACTGATAGTAAAAACCACGACGCTGCTGTGGACGGTCCTTATCGTCCTCTTGTGGCGGTGCAAGATACCGCCAACAACGGAGTTACAAAAACGACAAAAAAAAAATAAATAAATAAAAATAAATAAAAAAAAAATTAAAAAATTAAAAAAAAAAAAGTTTTTCGTAAGATTTGAAGCAAGATTCGTAAAATCGTAAAATCACTCCCAATTCGTACATTTTACGAAAAATTCGGAAGAGTTGGCAGGTATGCAGCGGTAATGGCGGATGCCTTTCGTGCTACAGGTTGCCCTCCAGGTTGACAGTTCACTGAAGCTTCAAGAGCGACACTCACGTTCACTCATCCTTTTTGCCGGGACTTGTAGCACCAATCGCTGGGATCGCGACATCCGACAAGATGGTACGTCGGCTTCTGCGAGGTCCTCTGTTGCCACTTCAGAACCACTTTTGATGTATGGGCGGGATAGGTGGCTAGGCAGATCAGTCAAAGACGCATCCCAAGCACCATGTGCATGTGCAGAGTGCAAGTCGTCTGCTTATTGTGAAGGAGTTCCAGTGGCACCAAATTACGCCGAGCTCCGATTGGCTTTGATTAAAAGGATAGTGGGTAGTCCTCAATGTTACATGCCTTGAGGTCTAACCGCAATTTCTTTCAATCAGCCAGTAAAAGCTCGGCGTTCTGACACCATCACAACCTCTGTGTGAGAAGCAGACAAATTTGCGCTCCGCAGTGACCCCAGGAAACCCTCGACCTACCTTCACTCTTGTTGTGTTCCTGATGGGCACGAGAATTCCATCCAACAACTGCAACTCCGCGAGAATGAATTGCGGATGTAGAGCGGAGCCGGCTTCGGCCATGGGCGGTTGAAATCGCCTTGCAAGCCGAGCCCCGTTCTAGCAGACGGGTGTCCCAACATGGCTGCTCGTTCCTGGCGGCACTCTAGGGAGCATGACTGCTCGGCACTTTCCCTAGGAACGAAGAGAAATTTTTTGTAGGGGCAAGCTTAACGTTCTATGTAAACAGGTGCCTTATTAGAAAGAGTGCGGGCTTTCAAATGTTTTAAAGATCAATCGCAGGGCAGCGCAGGTGGTGTGCTTAATGCATGTATTTGATTGCAACCCAACACACTAATTAAAAATCCCAACTTTAAAAATTGAAAAAAAAAATTTTTGTGTTGGCACACTGCCGAATGAAAATGAAACTCAAGCCCACTTTATAGATCGCCTAGAGTAAGTACCTTTGTCTTCGTAACTTTTTCTGCTTTTTGCACCAAAATTCCTTTTATAGTACCAATTGCCCTAGCCTCGCGACGATTCCTGATGCCATCCATTTGTCGAGGTTGATGCAATCTTAAAGGCATCAAATTTTTAGCTGGATTCTTTTACTGTAAATAATCCACATGGCATCACTAGTCATGGAACACAATATAGAAGATGCCGAAGCACTGTAAATGGTTTAATATGGCATTATTGGATTCGGCTTTGATTGCTGGAAGCCGGAACCTTATGATGACCTCACAGACCAGGGAGCATAACTACGGCAGCAGTCACATGATCCCAAAAGTTTGTGATATTGGGACACAGTAAATAGGAAGAGCACCCGTCCCGCGACTCAAGGGGCTGTCCCGCTTTCTGGGCTTGTGTCCCGCGTCCCGAAAAAAATACCAAAAATTTGCAAAATGCCCTGCATTTCACACTGTCGTAAAATTCACTATGCAACTCACTGCCCTGCAGAACAATGGGGCGCGAGGGAAGAGCCGATATCACTGTTAATCGTGTGCACAGGCGCAGACTACGGGGTGGGGGTGGGGGATAGGGGGCTTGATTCCCCCCTCCAAAATATCACAGAAAAACCAGACCCTTCCCCTGAGGGGCTCCTCAAGAAAGCAAATACCCTCACTTTGGGAACCTAAGGGGTGCACTGGGGTGAGTGGGCAAGACGCGTTAGTCGGGCCCCAGCCCTCCCTCCGGGAAATTGAAAACTTTCCGCCTATGATCCTGTGAATCGCAATGGTACAACATTTTTTTCCCAAGCATTGCGGGAAGCGATAGTCATTCTTGCAGGAGAACTGACGTGCATGTGTTATTATCGTGCCTCTCCTCTTGGTGGCAAAATATCGCAAACAAAAATTGCTTGCCAAAATTAAGAAAATATATTATTGTATTTATTGGAAAACTGTGCTGTGTCAATGCGAAAGGGCTGCTGTGTAAAGCTTTTTTTCGGTGAAGACGGCCACACAAGGTCCAAAACCTGCATTTCACAACAATCGAAAGAAAAAAAAAACAACAAGATAAGGTTCCAAGGTTGTGCAGCGGCATGTTTGTAAAAGTGAGCATCGACAAAGAACAATAAGCTCAAAAAGATTTACCCTCCCTTCTTTCCTACTGATGCATTAGAGTCTGCTGCAGTAAATTTTTATGATTTCAACTGAGACACTTTCAATAAAATGTTTGGCATTCAAATAAAAAAGAAATACATCACTGGGAGTGAAAATTATTCAAGCTTAATTATTGGAACACAATATACAGGTGTATAAGAAGCTTTCGGAGAGCACATGATGCTAAAAGAGCCACATTTCGTGGTGTGCCTGTTGATAAATTTACTCTAACATAATTTTGTTTTTCTGTTGCCGCAGCCATCATAATACCATCATAGCTATACATATAATAACGCCATACGTATAACATCTGATAGAGGTAGCCAACCGGGTAATTAACATGGACACTCAACTGTAGAGGTGTCAAAGAACAGAGGTTCCTTGCAATGCCAGCAGTAATAACGTCAGATGAAGGTAGTTAATTGGTTATTTAATATGTCTACTCTATCCTAGAGCTGACAAAGAATAGAGATTCCCAGTCCAAGTAGACGTAACACCAAAACTAGACGTCCTTATTCGTTGGCTTATGGTAATGAGTGTCCTTAGGTTCACGTAGGCTAGTGGGTGTCAGAATCACAAGCCTACAACGAAGTAGGATTCGTCCCATCGACTTCGGTTTCGCCTTCACGGTCATTCCTTTGTCAAGACGAGAGGTCAAGACTAGCATACCTGCAGCAAAATATATTGGGTTAGCATTAAATTTCGAATGAGACAAAATAGCATGAAAATCTGCATCACAACCCAACAGATCTGATAACGCAACGATATTAGTGCCGTAATATAAAATTTAGACCATTTTTACGAGCTCCTAGAGGAAAATTGACAGGTACTAGGTTTCTGGCAATTTTAGTCGGTTTTATCTTAATTACGTTCATAAAAAACTAGACCCGGTAAGGAGTGTTAGCCAAGGATATACTTCCAAAGTATTAAGTTTGAAACAGCGTTGTTTATCAAGAAACATTTCGTCGGCGTTTTGCGATGAGGCCGAAATGTCAAACCTCTCTGCATCCACCGCGCGTAAGAAGCGATCTTTTTTTCGACTCCAAGTTCAAAAACGATGGTGCATTAACGTGAATTTTTCGACTAAACGACAGATCAAGATCGACGGGAGCTAGAAATGACGATTAATTTGAAGAAGATTACAGTATTTAAGCCTACCAACTGGTCCAAACTGTTTGACGGTGAGTACCGCTACGTGCACTCGGCCAGCTGTTAAGTATTCACCGTTTGGACTAGATCCTCCCATAGACCGCGATGGAAGCACTTGTGATCCAGAGTGCTGTAGCCAAGGGAGCTAGCGCAGGCTTTTCTTTTTCACGATATAATTTAAGCACATGCGTCGCATACAAGTCAAAGATTACGGAGCGACAGACTAGACGAACAGAAGGATGCCATTTAAAGCGCACATTCGTTTATGCCACTTCAGGTACAACATAATACGCATGATAACTCTTATCGGACAAAAATGACGCACGTTTACTAAGCTTCCTAAGCTTGAACCGGCTTGAACCCTTAAGAGTTAAAAAGAGTTACTTTTGGGAATCACATGGTAGCACATCTATTGTTCTAAAAGTTGACTTATCGAACATTTTGGGGAGCTAGTGGCGTCCTCTCTGGAGATTTTGAAAAACTTGGACGAGGAGACTTTTCGCACCTAGCTACAGGAGGCGCGGTGAGTGTTTTTCTTGCATGGTTTCGTGTTTTGACGAAGTTGAGCTCAGTAAAATTGGTTAACTCAATAAAACAAGCTTAAGCACTGTTCATCTTAAAGTAAAAAAAAAAAAAAAAAAGAATTTGGCTAGATGGCAAAAGTCACCTCGCGATTTAAAGGAAGTGCTTCCTCCGACGGGCGTCGGAGGAGTGGGACCTGTTAGAGCACTATATAGCTCCTACGGAGCAGAGTAGCGCAATCCTTTGAACTCCGTGTTTTGCCGACAACATGGCCGACAGAGCGGCTCGGCGCGAGTCACGTGGTACTCAGGGTTCCAGGAGGCGGCCCGCCCTATGGGAGAATACATGGAGATCGACATAACACGGCTGATTAAAAAATGAACGGCGAGTTCACACTTTTCAAAACTAGTCTGTCATGAAGTTAGTAAAGCACTAAACACTTTATCAAAGTTTTAACAATATCGGATGCGTGTGAAAATTTTGAGAAGGCAATTTCCAAGGCAATGGCGTTTGAAGCAGACGATTTTTGCTCGCAGCGGAAATGGGCTTTTCGGGTTGGCCGGAGCGGGTCACGTGAATGGTGTGACGTCGCCGTGTCGTCTGCTGCATGATGCCTCTCAGGCAATTTTTTAAAAAACGTCAGGTCCTTGCGGGGCACAAAACTTAGCGCAAATTATTCTAAAGTGTTCCATTATTATGTCAAAAATGATTGCGATTCCGTACATTCCCACAATACTGGAGAAACAACGATTTTCTCACGTTCTCCATGCATTTCTGACCGCAGTTGGAACCTCCGGGCGTTCGCCGCTAGTCGCCGAGAGGCGGCGTTCTAGATTGCGCTACTCTGCTCCGAAGGAGCTATATAGTGCTCTAGGACCTGTGTGCAAATCGTTCCTCCGACGCCGGAAGTGATGTAGTCGCGTCGGAGGAAAGACGGCCGTGTGGAAATCGTTCCTTCGACGCCGGAAGTAACGTATCATCCCCGGCCCCGGATGTTGCCTTTGTTATGACATGCGGCCGACCATGTGCGTCTGCCGCTGTAGTCTTCTGTGGTCGGGTCCTGGCCGCGCTGCTGTCGGCTCCGGTCACGCAAGCTATTTTGACTGATTTTTCGCACTCTTTGAAGCATTTTGTTTAGCATTGTCTTGTTCTTTTTAGCAATACATTTTTCCGTATCTAGTGCTACTCTTTGTATTTTAGCTTTAATCGCACCCCCAACGTGCCTCGAGTTTTGGTAGCCGGCGATTCGATGGTGAAGTACTTGCCATTGAATAGTCGGTTGGCTGTTGAGGTTGCGCCGTTTAGTGGTATTAGAATCGTGCACTTGTTTTCCCAGGTGTCTGAGAAGCTACCCGATTTTGATGTTGTCATCCTACACGTTGGCACTAATAATTCCCATATTAGTGCCAGCGTGTACATCGACAAATATCGTCGTCTAGCTGCCCAGATCTGTGAACGCAATCCAATGATGCAGATCGCCTTTTCTGCCGTTCTTCCGAGACGGGAGAATAGGTTCTGCTCATTGGAATGGCAGCGTAGTCACGCTGCAGAGATCGAGGCGTCGAGGCTTCGAATGACCGTTACCGAGAGGTGAACTCGCTGCTGCGAGAGTTGTGTCGCAGGGAAGGGTTCACGTTCCTTGACGGGCTAGATGACGAGTGGCACCAGTGGATCCACCGCGACGGCGTCCACCCAAACCGGATCGGCAACAAGGTATGCACACGTGCGTTAAGTCGCTGCACTAAAGAGCGCGAATATAGGGCGGCTACGATTGCAAGGCTCACCGTAAAAAGGGGAACTGAAAATTGACCTGCGCACGTGGCGAGCTAAATTACTGGTTGGATTCAACTGGTTGACAGAACGGTGCCAACTCCAGCAACGAAACACGGCACAACTTGGAAGGTTGACCAGTCTTTATTGTCAAAAACCGAGAATGAAAATAAATAGGTTCGGTGACGTTCACGTTTCCGGATTGAAGGAAGCACAGCGTAGCTCTAAGGACCGCTTCAGTTGCCTCGTTAGCTAATTGCGACGATTGAATCGCCCTTTCAGAGCGAGTATTTGTGCGAGGTGAAAGATTAGCCGCTGGCGTCTGTCAGCATCCGTGACGACGTCCCTAGCTTCTCTCCATCGCGTGAAGAAAGGTGCTCACCCGTGTTTCCGCGTTGCGCAGGTGAAGTCCCGATAAGATGCGGTTGCGCTCCCACCTTACAATCAAACAATTCCAATTGATTGTGTCACAACAGCTGCCAGTTCGGGTAGACTTTCCGCCATTTTTACCATTGTGCTCTCCGCGGCTGTTTTCTCTTCCGTCTGGTTTCTCCCTGGCTGCCCTCCGGTCGTTGAACCGCATCTTTCTGCCCTCGAAGTTCACCGTTGGGTCGCAAGAAGCGCAGATATGGTTTTGACATTTTCATAACCACACGTTTATCAATACACCAACTTTGGCGATGGTTTTCCTTCTCTACCGACCACTGGATGGACGGATGGATGAATCCGGCTGAGCCCTTTGGATCGGGCGGTAGCTTACGCCACCTAGCCATTCTGTTTTACCATTTAAGCTTAGAATATTTAAAGGTGAAAGCTATATTCACTCCGCACTGCAAAGAAAGTGAGGCTATAAAACACCCTTGCCATCAGTTAATAAGAAAATACCTAGTTTTCTCTCGCCTTCTGCCACCATTCACTTAATATTTGCTTGGTAATCTCTACTGTCTTGAAATCCACTGTTCCTTCGCTGTTTCTAAAACCCAATGACTTTATTAAATCTATGTTCTCTTCGTATCAAGTATCAAGTGCTCAGCCGTCTCGTCCTCCTCTCCGCAAGCAGTGCAAGAAGCATAAAAGCAGCAATATTACAATATTAGTAAGTTAGCTATAAAAAAATTAAACAGTTTGGTTCCTGCATGGGACATCCTGATTCAATCGACTTATAGATTCAGTGTCCATCCGATCGATTCCAGAAAAGCAGACCGTACCGAATTTCACCTGCAGGATGCAAAGTTATCTAATAGTATATCAACAAAATGTTGGAAAAAAATTGTTCAGCCCATCTTCATCCCTTGGCCATCCCCCATTGCCCTCGTATGAAGAATTGAGGGCTCAATGTCGCATGCTGCAAATGAAATGATTGGCAGTGGTCATGCACTGACACACATATACACAGGGTGGAGGATAAAAATCAAGTTGATTTAAATCGAAATCATGATTTAGACCACAACTTTAATCATACAGGTAAATTACTTTTAAAATGTAATTTAATTACAATTACTTTGCTCCAAAAGTAGTTTAACTACAGTTACAATTAATACTACCTGAGAAATAACTCATTGCAATTACAAATTACTTTGCTGATGACATCATCAGTGATGATGACAATGCTAATGTCGGTGACGTCATCAGTGACGTCACTGATGTCATCATCAGTGTTGATGATGCAAGGATTTCCGGTTGGCACCGGAAATCCTTGCAAAAGTAGTTGTAATTGTGCCTCAAAGTTTGTAATTACTGATGCTAAAAAGCAAATAAAGTACAATTGCAGCTCCGTTTAGCAGGAAGTGATGAATTACAAATTACCAGAAAAGTAATTAAATTACAGTAATTTAATTACTGTAATTAAATGACTACCCAAGTATGATTTGAATACCGATGTTTCAAATCAAACATTTTGATATATTAAAAAAAAACATTAATTTTACCATTGGAACCTCAACTATTTTATTGTTTTCAGGTGTATTTATATTTTCATTCCATGTAAAATAATTATCAAGTAATATTGATATGGGGATAACGAGCAAATATAAGACTTCTTCGAAGCACAAGTAAATTGTAGGATTGAACGCTCTCTCTACTTTTCAGCTCGTTCTTCAGGTATAGCAAAACAAGGGAAAGGGTAGAGTCAACAAAAGAACTGCGTGCGTGAACAAGCATACAAACTCAAATACCAGCAGAGAGAGGTATAGAATCAGGCAGACAGACTAAAGTATATGTCTCTGGTTGATCTTGCATATTCTAGTGTATTTATTCACTCCGCACTGCAAAGAAAGTGAGGCTATAAAACACCCTTGCCATCAGTTAATAAGAAAATACCTAGTTTTCTCTCGCCTTCTGCCACCATTCACTTAATATTTGCTTGGTAATCTCTACTGTCTTGAAATCCACTGTTCCTTCGCTGTTTCTAAAACCCAATGACTTTATTAAATCTATGTTCTCTTCGTATCAAGTGCTCAGCCGTCTCGTCCTCCTCTCCACAAGCAGTGCACACTGTATCCATGTCCTGGTACTTCGCTCTGTGTGTTCTGGTTTGCAGTACACCCGTCCTCGCCTCAAACAACAATGAGCTTCCCCTAGAATGGTCATAAATGCTTTCTTTGGCAATAACTGTTTTGTTTAATTTATAGTTTTCCAGAGCCGTCTTTGTCTGCATTCTCTCTAGCCACCAATCTCTTTCTGTGGCCTTAACTGACACCTGCTCTTCCTAAGTCCACTATAGCCTTAAAAACTGTCCTCCTAACTCCCTAGTGCACTGTCTCCAGTTTGTATCTATACTCCTCGTGTATAAATAGCTGAAAACCTTTTGTGCCCATTGCCACCCATCCATTTGCCTCAACCAATCCTCAAATTCTATCTTGCTCACCGCTTCCCTGCTCTCAAATGACGCCCATCCCATGTCTCCTTGTACTAGCTCCCTGGTTTGGTGTTTTGCAATGTGTCCCCAAAGCCAGCCTACCTACTCTGCACTGTTTTATTTCTAGTCTCGCATGCACTTCGGATTTCACGCATAGCACTGCATTTCCAAAAGTCAAGCCAGGCACCATTACCCCTTTCCAAATCTCTCTCACCACCTCATACCTGTTGTAATTTCAAAGTGCTCTATTTTTCATTACAGCTGCATTTCTGTTGCCCTTACCTTTTTATATACTTTTCATGCTCACTGAGATATTCTGCACCATCACATATCCATACTCCTAGGTACTTGTATTTACTAGCTTTCTCAACTGTAATATTCTGTACCTTCAGCCTCTCAACTTTTTCATCGTTAAAAAACATGATTGGTGATTTTTTCACTGCGTCACATGTGCCATCTGTCGACAACGCGCAAAACTAATCCGCATGCGGCCTGCTGGGTCCGATTTTAAAAAAAAAGGGAGTAGGTCTTTGCTTCAATGTTTAATACATTTTATACATGTACATAAATGTTGATTTAAGTAAATATTTTTTATGCCACTAATTATATTGCAATTTATAAAAAGATATGTACATTAAAATTTGACATATTTTTTTAAATACATAAATGTATACCTAGTAATTAAAGGTTTATCCATTTCTGTAAATCTATATATTTAAGTTTTTTTTTTCTTCACTAGCAAAGATCAATACACCCCCATCTTGTCGAAATGGACACGGCATGTGAACCCTAACAGGGAATGGGAAAACAATTGAAACTTCCCCTGGGAATCCCTCCAACCAGTTAACTCATTAACTGGTCCCAGTTACCCCTACCCGTTCCCCATCTGGGCATAGTCAAGCCAGTTGACTCCTCAGCTAGTCCCAGTTGCACTCCTATTGATAACAGCCAATTCCAACTTGAAATCAGTTAGTTCCAGTTGTAACCAGTCGAGATGCCAACCGGTCCCAGTTAGACATTTTGGCATAGGTGCCTTGTATGTAAAGCTAAAGGCGCAGCACCTTTTCTGTGAAATCTTCAAGGCAACATCTTTAACAATTTGAACGAGTGAGGTGACTGCAGCTGACAATCAGCCTTGGTGCTAATGTCAAGTACCGTGTGCAGGTCCTCGCTGGGTTCATGGGCCAGCAAGTATGGAGCATCCTGGAGAAGATGGCCAGGGCCAAGATCCAGCAGGACCACAAGGAGGCAATGCCAGGGACCCGCTCGTGGGATGGCTGGACCATCAAGGGTGCCCTATTGACCGCGCCATGTTGTCTCTTCAGAATTCTCCGACTTTTCCAGCAAAGTTTTGTTAATCTGACGACATAGTCTTTCTAAGAGGCTGGGGAAATTATAGCAAAAAGTTTGTGGGCCTCACATCTGGTAACAAGAAGGCTCCAAAAACAAGGCCCCTTGAAAACTGAGCAAGTTGCTACTTGTGTAAATTGGCTCTGAAGAAACCAACAACTAGGCGCTGCACAGTCCGATGATTCTTTCCGAGTCTGAAGTGCTTCGAGGGAATCGGAATTTTGTGTTATAATGTGAATAAACTGTTCTGCATTGCAAATCGAGTTTGATGTTGTTTACTTACATTTGGGGGGGTGCCAATTTGTCTTATACCTTAGTAGTTACATCAACACACTGCATTTGATATCAATCCTGCCCCAACAATAGCTAGTGCACATGGGCCCCTTTTTTCCTTTCTGATCACTCCACAAATAATGCCCGGTGCTTCTCTGCGTGCACCAGAGCAAAAATTCGAAAGCTAACTGCGAGAGCACTGACTTTTCTCCGCAGCGTGGAGAAGGTTACCAAAAAAGAGCTAGTGCTTTTCACATGCACCGGTGCGATGTGGGAAAACTTACAGCGTGAGCACGAGTGCTTCTCCGCGTGTACTGGTGCAACAAGGAAAAGCTTAACACGAGAGCATTGTCGCAAAGTATTAAGCTTGATACTAGCATTGTATTGAGAACACCACAGTTTGCAGAGACGTGGTTCATTACTCCGACAAGCTGGAAGTGCGCTGTGGAGGCATTTGTTTACAGCATTTTCAAAAAAATTTGTTTTACTGTCGAAGGATGTATGGCCATATCAGTAGATTATACAAAAACTTTCCAACACAAAGAATGGAAAGAAACTACAGTGGACTGCTTCCTTCAACCAGCAATGACAGTGATGAATTTTGTTGCTGGTTGAAATAAGTAGTAGTCGTCTGGAGTTAGTATTCTATTCCTTTTATGTCCAAAAGTTTGAAACCAACACTTTATTCTTATTTTCCTGCTAATCCTTAAATGAATGCTTTTCAGAGGCTGCTGGCCCAGATAGCTAACAATTTCTTTGTTTGCATTGTTCGGCCAAGCATCACAGCTACCAGATAACTGGGTTCTAGTTGCCTGGTAGAAAAGCTGTTTTTCTACCAGGCAACTGCACGTGCCGTCTCGATTTTCTTTCTTGAATGGCATGGGATTGGGCCTGGGTGCCATACTGCAGGAAACAAATGATCCGGAGCCCAGGTACCACTTCCACAAGATGCAAGGAAATTCCTTTTATTGGGAGTGACAATAATAAGACATTAATATTTGGCTCACAAATTCATTGCCTTGGTCGACACGGGAGCCACAAATTCCTGCACATCACATGCAGAGTAATTACTACGGGCAACGAACACCTATTGCACATGGGTAATAGCAAATAGTTACAGCCTATGCGATGTGGAATGATGTTACTGCTTCTTGCAGGCATGTCTACCCTATTTAAAGAAGGAGTCTGTGAAGATGTCCACCGATGCCTTTCTAAACAACTACAGGCAAACTAGAGCAGAACTGTTTCATGTTCCTTCATGTGTAACCAGACATTTCGTATGCTTTTATGTGTGCTCACTGTGAATACCTCACGTCTCTCGGATTCAGTCATATGATGCCATCGCTCCACCTCGCCTTTATATATCTGCATCTGTTGCAATGTACCGTCGCCATTTGGATAATCTTACATTTATTTGTTTGTTAACTTTATAAGTGTGTTTAGGATTTTTTTTGTTTGCTGGTTTTATTGTTTGTTTTGGTGCACCACGGGGCATCCAAGATAAAGACTGATGACACCAAAATAAAGATGATTATTATTATAAACCTGTTGCTGACCCTCCTAATTCGAGGACCACAAATGACAGCCCTTTTTTGCCAGCACTATCTACTATCGCTGTAGCGCTGCCAAATCATTATTTGCAAAGAAAAGTGGTGTAAGATAATTCCTTGTGTCTCTGCAATACAAGGCAGTGTTTGCCTTTGCCTGATTGACACCTACACAGAGTCGCAAATACTTTTCCAGAAGCTCTTGTCTCCACAATAATCAACTATATAAAGAACATGACATTGCCACTCTTTCTGAGCATTTGTGCTACCCACTTATCTACACACTTGAAGCATAAAAGCAGCAATATTACAATATTAGTAAGTTAGCTATAAAAAAATTAAACAGTTTGGTTCCTGCATGGGACATCCTGATTCAATCGACTTATAGATTCAGTGTCCATCCGATCGATTCCAGAAAAGCAGACCGTACCGAATTTCACCTGCAGGTTGCAAAGTTATCTAATAGTATATCAACAAAATGTTGGAAAAAAATTGTTCAGCCCATCTTCATCCCTTGGCCATCCCCCATTGCCCTCGTATGAAGAATTGAGGGCTCAATGTCGCATGCTGCAAATGAAATGATTGGCAGTGGTCATGCACTGACACACATATACACAGGGTGGAGGATAAAAATCAAGTTGATTTAAATCGAAATCATGATTTAGACCACAACTTTAATCATACAGGTAAATTACTTTTAAAATGTAATTTAATTACAATTACTTTGCTCCAAAAGTAGTTTAACTACAGTTACAATTAGTACTACCTGAGAAATAACTCATTGCAATTACAAATTACTTTGCTGATGACATCATCAGTGATGATGACAATGCTAATGTCGGTGACGTCATCAGTGACGTCATCATCAGTGTTGATGCAAGGATTTCCGGTTGGCACCGGAAATCCTTGCAAAAGTAGTTGTAATTGTGCCTCAAAGTTTGTAATTACTGATGCTAAAAAGCAAATAAAGTACAATTGCAGCTCCGTTTAGCAGGAAGTGATGAATTACAAATTACCAGAAAAGTAATTAAATTACAGTAATTTAATTACTGTAATTAAATGACTACCCAAGTATGATTTGAATACCAATGTTTCAAATCAAACATTTTGATATATTAAAAAAAAAACATTAATTTTACCACTGGAACCTCAACTATTTTATTGTTTTCAGGTGTATTTATATTTTCATTCCATGTAAAATAATTATCAAGTAATATTGATATGGGGATAACGAGCAAATATAAGACTTCTTCGAGGCACAAGTAAATTGTAGGATTGAACGCTCTCTCTACTTTTCAGCTCGTTCTTCAGGTATAGCAAAACAAGGGAAAGGGTAGAGTCAACAAAAGAACTGCGTGCGTGAACAAGCATACAAACTCAAATACCAGCAGAGAGAGGTATAGAATCAGGCAGACAGACTAAAGTATATGTCTCTGGTTGATCTTGCATATTCTAGTGTATTTATTATTTTCAGAGAAATTATATTTCTCTCAAAAAATTATTTTGAGAAAACAGTTTAAATCTAATCAATGATTTTTTCTTTTTTTAATTTCGCCAGTGAGAAATCTGTAATTTGGTTATTTGTAAAGTCATGTTCAGTCAATCAATGTGGCCTATTGCCATAAGTGCTCTTCGGAGGATGAGATTCGCGCATGGATTTCTTGCAATAAATGTAGATAATGAAGAAGTGTTTCTAGGTCGCTTTTCCGCAGTACACAACTTTGTAAGGTGAAGCGCACTTGCGGGTTTTTTGCTTTCCTGCAAAACTCGGTGTTTAAGGGAGAAGCACGCTTATGGAACGTTAGGTCTACTGCTTTCCCATCTTACTGCAACTGACAAGTACATTTGCTGGTTCTGCGCTTTCCCACAAGGAAAATACGTGCAAGGGGAAGCGCACTTGCGAGTTACTTGGTCCGCCGCTTTCCCGCCGTACAGCAAATAGAAGGGGGAAACCCTCCTTCCAGGGTACAAGCTCTTTTCTGAGTTTCAAACTGTTCCACAAGGCACATTCTCGTAGGAAGAACCGCTTTTGCGGGTCGCGCTATTCTGGATAGCGTGCGTTTTTAATTAGAAGCACGCTTGTGGGCTTTTTACTGAACAGATGTCATAGAAAAATGTCCTTCCACTGGCAAGCAGACTTCCAAATTAATTGTATTTGTTCCTTGAAACCTCTACTTCAGCAATGTTGCTATTGTGATGAAGCACATGTTTCCTCCCAATTATAAGGTTAGTACAAATAAATGGTGTACAAAACACGTCTTAGCTTCAGCCAAAACTCTGTACTCAGCATACAATGTGTATGTAAAAGAAAACACATGGTGGTATAGATTTGAATGATTAAATCAATATAAAACAGTAATAATAATAAAACTTTGTGGTGGAGGAACACTTCAAATGTTAAAATGTAAAGTTGCATAAGTAACGATGTACTAGAATAATGCTTTCTTTTTATTTCTTGCCTGTTTAATAGTTCCTACACTTGGAGAGTTCCTTTAATAATTAATAATCGCCACAATTCAGTACCATCTAACCTCTGAAACAATAATTACATTCAGGAAGTCATCTCCAGCTATCCCATACTCACCAGTTCAATCAATCATTCCCTTGCACAGACACATAAGCTACCCTAGCCTCGCATAGGACTCCAGCTCGACTGACTCAGGCTTTGCCCTTTCATACATAATTTTTTCTGAATAATCATACAAAATTTAAGGTTTCATCAGCAAATTTTAATGAGAAGGAGATGGTGGTCTTTGTGTGAAATATGATTAATAAATGAAAGATTGTGGAGGGAAGGTAAAAAGAAAGGATCAACCAATCTATGGGGGGATAGAGGTAAAAGAGATGGAAGAATAAGCAGAGAAGGTGCTTGGCCCCACAGCTTCATGAATTCTTTCAGAGGGGTCAAATGATGGTGTTCCCTTCGGTCATAATCTCAGACATAATCTCCTACACCCGCTGTAAATGGTTTGGCTCTTTGCCTATCATCTGTGTATTGCTTGCTGTGCTTCTGGTAATCAGCAATGCATTGGCGGAGTTGCTGCATCTCGATGTGAACGGGCTCGTCAAAACTTAGGAAGCCTAAGATGTCCATACGGGTACGCATTTTACGTCCGTGGATGAGCTCAGCGGGGGAGAGCTTCGTCGCTGCATGTGGTGTACTTCAATAGACACCCGGAAACTCAAGGCCTGTACGAACGTTGGTTTGTTCCTGCAGGATAGTTTGGACGTACTGCTTAAGCACTCGGTTGAAGCGCTCAACCTGACCATTGGCTTGTGGATGGTATGTCGGAGACCGATGGTGGTAAATCCCTCTGGACTTCAGGAACTCCTGGAATATGCGGGATTCAAACTATGGGCCATGATCAGAAACAATCGCCTTTGGATACCATTCTCGGTTGAAGATTCTAATGAGGAATTCACATACAGCTTCAGCAGT